TAATGTTTGCTATACTCCAACGAACAAACCCAAGTATCCGTTTTGCTTTATATTTATCAGATAATGAGAAAATGATTTTTTTAGTTTCTATTTGTTTTCCTCTTTTTAGCAAACGCTAAAACTAGTAGTTTTTCGTTATTCCACGTTGTAATCATACGTAATCGAAATATTATAACAAAAAAAAATGGGGGAAAACAACGAATTTTAGCATTTGCTAAAAAGAGGAAAAAAAATAAAAAGTAAAAAAAACAGTTTCTCATCATCTAATAAATATAAAGTTAAACGGATACTCGGGTTTTTTCGTTGGAGTATAACGAACATTAAAAAAAAAAAAGTTGTAATCGCACGAAACTGTGGTCCAAGGAGCCTTTTTGAGCTAAAAACGTGAAAAATGACGTTTTTGGTAAATATACGGGGCAAAACGGTTCGAGTCCGAAATTTTCTCACTTTTTTATATATCCCTTCATATATCAAAAGTCATCCAATGGCTGTTGAGGCCGAGTCGAGACTTNGAATTTTCTAGAAACTCCTTGAATTCTTTCGAAATTTCTAGAAACTCCCTGCAGTCCCTTGAACTTTCTAGAAAAATCTAGACCTGTAAGCTCAATTTCACAAAACGACTCCTCATAACGAAAACATATTTGACGTATCCTCATCAAAATTTTGCCCTTATGTGTAAATCATGCCAAATCTGTGCGGAAAGTACGCATAGATGTGCAGATAATCCGCATAAAAATTGTGTATTTCATGCATAGCTATGCGGATAATCTGCATAACTATGCATGATTCACGCACTATTTATGCATGATTTGTACATAAGAGAGTGACTTCGGATTATGTGTGAATCCTGCATAACTATGCAGATTATCTGCACACTTATGCGGATAGTCTGCACAGCGTTTTCTGTGTGCAGGGGAATTTATTAAGGAAAGGCTTAATTAAATTCAATTTTATCTTGTTCTATTCGATAGTAAAACAAAAACGGATACCTAATTTTCTTCTTTGGCCGCTAACCAAGAGTGAGAAAAAACTTCTTTTTTTTCTTATTGGTTGAAAACTCAAAAACGTAGTTTTAGAGGAAGAAACGAGGTAAATGGGTTGATTCAATATAATTCCTACTTCCTTGCATATTCCATCATGTATTAAAAAGTGCTCGATGAGTCCCTTCAATCGCCACGAACTTTCAAGTTTCAGGGCAGTCTTAATGGAATTCCACTTGGACACTTAATGGGTCCAAGTGGAAGGAGCAACGACTCTCATGACATTTGGTGCTCAGATGATTTTGAAATCCCATGAAATCAGTACACGAAGAGAAATTTTCTAGAAAAATTCTAGTACAAGTAGTTGAAAAAATTAGAATCCACCGGCTGTGAAAAATTCTAGTGCTATTAAGGTAAAATTTCTTGGTATTTCTGGTAAAATTTCTGGGGATTTCTGTGAAATTTTCACGGCAATAGGGGGAAAAATTCACGTTTTCCCCAATAGAATTTCTAGTACCGGCACTGGAATTTTTTCCTGGCCGTCACTTTGCGCCTCTCTTCCCGTGCTAGCATTATAATTTTTCTAAAAAAATTCTCTCCGTGTAGGGAAGCGATAAAACGGTTTAAGTTGATTTTGACTATTAGCCAGTGTTCAACGACTATTTCGAAATCCAAGGAAGACAGCAAAATTTTTGTCATTACCTTTATTTGTAGACCGAATTGAGGGCTATAAAACGATTATTTCCGTAACGACCTACGGAAGGAAATATCCGTAATGACCTTTTTCGTAGCCCTCAATTCACTCTATGAAAAAGGCAATTACGGAAATCGCGTTATTTCTCTTAAATTCGGAGATATTCCTCGAAAACTCAGCCAAGGGCTCTAAGTCGACCTAAACCGTTTCACCGCTTCGCTGCTGAAATATGAGACAAAATCGGGCAATATCATGAAATCACAAGAAATCCTATGAATTTTTGAATGAAATATCCTTTGAAATATCTGAAATTCATTAAATCTCCTGAAATTTTAGTAGCTTTATGAAGAGATTCAATAATTTCCATTTCCATTTCGCAGCAAAAGCAAAAAATCTGCGAGGTTTTCAAAGAATTTCATAAACTTTCGTTTATGAAATTTCTCAAAGTGCCTTTAAAAATTGTATGAAATTCTTTGAGAACCTCGCAGATTTCTGAAGACTTCATGAAATCTTTTGGAATTCCCTCTAAATTTGACTTGTTCCGGCCAATTTTCTCGGTCATTGGCTCCAAAAAATAAAAAACAAATCAATTTAGAGGAAGGAACGACGGTCAAAATAATAATTTTATGAAATTTTGAAATCCCTTTGGTATTAAACATTTCAGAATCCTTAAGGGGAGTCTACCATGAGTTTCTAAAGTCGCGGGCTATTAGAATGAGATTTCTCATACATTGACGATCGACTATATGGCTGAAAATGAATAATTAGCGCAAAAAAAGTAATTGTTTATTGTTCGTTTGCCCCGCAGACGCTTAAAATGTTGAAAATAGTCCAGGGCCTTCAATTTTTGAACTGACCACAGTAGTTTTTACGGCCGTCCTGAAAAAACAGTTCTACACTTCAACTTAAGCCGGTCTACCGCTTCGCTACTGAATTCTTTCGGAGTGATTATACCCCCTCGGCTCTAGCTGTTTTATGTCTCACCTCTGATGATGTTGTCCACACCAACTCTCACTTCCTCCTCGACCTCTCGAGTTTTTTCGGAGAGAACCATGTCGCTGTAGGGCAATTGCCAGGGGTTTCCTGACTCATCCTTGCCTCTCCAAACGTCCTGATACTCGAGATTCGCTTGAATCAACTCGGGAAGGAAATTCGAGGGGACTGGCTTTATTCCTGGATCTGATTCGTCATCCTCGGACTTATCAGTATCACTCTCCTTCTTAGCTTTCGATTTTTTAGATTTTTTCGATTCTTTTGAGGAAGAGGACTCCTTTGATTTACTCAATGAACTCTCCGTTCCCTAATTATTAATTTTTTATGATTACTCTGTGTTCCTTTTCAATTTGAAATATTTATTAATTTTTCGAAAAATTGATTAATTAATTGACATTGCTATTTAAATTGTTCAATTTGGAACAATTTCATAGGTCAATTGACTCGAATTGTGAATTCCATATCAAATTGTAACACTTGAATATTTCCTGACGTTTTAAAAATGTCATTGCCTGTAGCTTTCTTCAGTTTTTCACCCCGAAACTATAGCAAATACCCGAAATGTGATAACAAAACGTCCCTAACATACTAAAACACACGCAGAGAATGATGTGCCGTATCACGTCTGAGAAAATGACAATTCTGTTTCAGCAGCCCATCAAAACACATTGAACGTGTCCACCATCCAATATTCAAAATCAATCTTATCCGTTTATAACATTGAAATTAATTCTATCTCGTGAGATATTCAACTAATTTAAATAATATGAATTGTCGTGAATTTAAATCAATTCAAATCCCTTTCAAAATCCACACGTATGAAAAAATCCTATAGGATTCCCTATAGGAAATCCTATGGAGAATTTGAACATTTCCTATCGGATTTTTCAGATAGGATTTCCTATAAGATTTTCAATAGGATTTCCTATGAAATATAGGGTCACAAGGGTCAGAATGAGGGTCAAAAGTGTCACATGGGGGTCATATGGGGATCATGTGGGAGTCATATAAGGGTTATATGTGGCTCATATGAGGGTCACATGGGGACATATGGGTGTTGTACAGAAATCATAAGAGGCTCATATGGGAATCATATGAGGATCAAATAACCTTCATATTACCCTCATCTAATCCCTGTATAACCCCCATGTAACCTCTATATGACCCTGATATGATTCGCATATGACATCCATATGATTCCCATATGACCTCCATATGACCTCCATATGACCTCCCTGTATGACCATCACATTACCCTTAAATGACTCTAATATAACCCTTTATAACCCATATATGACCCCCACATGGTCCCCATATGACACTTTTGACCCTCATTGTGACCCTTATGTCCCTAAATTTTATACACGGAGAGAAATATTCAGTAAAAATTACGGAACAATTCACGTAATCCGCAAGGGAGAATCGTTTTCCGGTAGTTTTTATAAGAATTAAAGAGAAGAAATCTGAAACGTTCAGTGAATTTTTAGGTTCATCACCGAACAAAGTACGAAATTGTTACGTAATTTTTCCCGAAGAAGTAAAATCTTACAGAAACTTGCCGACTTATTGTGCCTCCAAAATAAAAAATTCTTGAACGTTCAACAATTTTTATGAAGCTGGTGAGTTATTTCTACGTTGCGTTCCGTAAAATTTCTCAATCGTTGGGGAAAAATTACGGAACGACTTGTCCCCACAGTGGTGAGGCATCAGACGGCTGGTTAATTTTTACGAAACAAATCGTAAAACTTACATGGCGATTCGTACAATTTCAGTTCCGACTCACACTTTTTATTGAATTTTACTTCGCTCGTGGGTTACGTTTCGAAGCGTAATTTTTACATTTTTTTCTGGTAATTTTTATTGAATTTTTCTCTCCATGTAGGAAATCCTATAGAAAATCCTATAGGATATTCTATAAGAAATACAATAGGAAAAACCTGATGAAGAATCCTATAGGAAATTTTCAATTAGGGATCAAGGGAAAATTTGGAGAAATAATATAACAACGTTCGTTAATTTGTAACATCTGCGACGTTTCGCTAAATATTTTAACTTCTCCAGGCTCTGGGAAGAAATTACAAACCCAATAAAACAGGTAGCACGTCTAAAAAACTGCCGTCAAAACAACTCCGCCCTATCCGCTACGTGTTATTTTGGAGGTTTTTTTTTGACGGAGTAGTTTTGAAATGGAATTTGTAGTCATGGACCCATAGAACACTGCCAGTATTTAATTTGTCTGCAAGTATTCTCTCCATATACTCGTCTGATGTTATCGAAAAACCCACTTTCATTACAATCAATTTTGTTATAGCAATTTCGTTACAATTTTGCTATAGAAAATCCTATCTGGAAAATCTTATAGGAAATGATTGAATTCTCCATAGGATTTTTTCATACCTCGCTCACTCAACCACGAAATCTTTTGTTGTTCACATATATATCAACATGAAAAATTACCAGTGGAATTATCAAAAATTATCAGTTGAATACCGTGTTTACTATATAAATTAACAGTCGACTAGTGCAATTCTATTGTCTGAAATTTGGATGGGACAAATTCTCACTTGTAATACCGGAAGAGCTTCAAAATTATCGGGTATTTTCCGATAGGTTCGTTTGCAAACAAACGAAGGAGTCAAGTTTTTCAGGAAAATAGTATATTTCGATACGAGTGAGACAGAATTTTCACGAGTGTGAAGTTGGCGGCCCGAGGCGAAGCTGAGGGCTGCCAATCACACGATCTGAAAATTCCTGTCTCACATGTGTCGAACAATAGTTTTTGACAGTGATGTTACGTTCAGCGAGTGGCGACTGTGCCTTTTTTCGTTTACTAGTAAACGAAAAGACTTTTCGTTTACGAGTAAACGAAAAGGCACTTTTCGACACGAGGTGAACGTAGCAGCAGTGTCAAAAATAATTTTAACCTGAAAAACTTGACGACTTCGTTTGTGTGCAGGGAACCTTGAGGAAAATGCCCGATTAATTTTGAAGCTTGTGTGGTATTCGGGGGATTATTTTTACAATCCAAATGTCGGGCAATATAATTGGACCATGAGACGAAACTCACAATTGAGAAGCGAAAATTGTATAATTAACACAACGACACAATTGAATTCAATCTGTCAGTTTGACGAGGGGTTAATTCGACTGCATGATGTTTTGTTTTTTATATAGCAACTATCAGAGAAAATTATCAAAAACTTATCAGTTGAAAACCCTGTAGCTTGTACCACGTGATGTCGAATGGGCCAATTATATTGCCCGATATTTGGGTTGGAAAAATAATCAGTTGAAAACCCTGTAGCTTGTACCACGTGATGTCGAATGGGCCAATTATATTGCCCGATGTTTGGGTTGGAAAAATAATCCACATAATTCTCTTCTGATTGGTCCACGGGACATCGAATACCGCAATTCTATTGTTGGAAACGATGATCGGGGAAATAACCAGAAAAAAAACTGTGGCATTTTCTCACTCAATTATTGATTACCACTTGTACACAGTCATTATTTTTGGTCTAGGAAAGACGAGGGATTGGAAAAAAGTTAAAAGCTCATTCTTGTTGCAAAATGCCTCAGTTGTAAAAAAAGATTTCTTGACGTAGGCTCATAAAATAGCTCATTCACGAAACAGTGAATACGAAGTTTGTATTTGATTTACTTGAATTACCTGCCGACTCAGGATCATTCTCGAGCCTCCGCTCTCCGCGGATGGCAGCTCAGGTATCTTGCCCGTTTGTTGGAAGTAATCATTGATCCAACTCCTCAGTTCGATCCTCATAGTCTCCTCCATTATCGCACTCTTCTCGTTCTTCACGAACTCCTTAGTTTCCACCAACATTTTCTCGTACATCTCCTGGTACTCCACCTGTTTTTCATACCGATGACATTTTATCCGCTCGGCCTGACGAAAATTCTCGGACACCACTTGACTCGGTTGGACCATTCCTATCAACAGCATCTCCTCAATTCGCCGTTTTCTCATTCTTTGACGCGTTATGTAGCCCCTCCAGACCTTTTGTATTCTCATTGTTGCGGTTATTTCCTTTACGGGGTCACTCGGTTCAACGTCCGGTTTGATTGTCGATCTCTCTTTCATCTCTCGAATTTCTTTCATAAATTGGAACCTAAATGGAACCATTTTGATAAATCGGTCGTTACGTCACGTACCAAAAAATTTTATAGAAAAAGGTAGTATTGCACTAAAAAATTCTATTGGATTTGTATACGACTTCTAGGGGACGGTAGGGCAAAACGGACCACTGACAGAAAATTGATAATTTCTTGATGTTATTTATAATTTTTGCTTCCATTCGGAAGCAAAAACAAAAATTCAGAGTCATTTGTGGTTTGAGGTGATTAGCAAATCTCATCAAATTGCGGCTCGACGATACTTGTTGTCTATAAAACACCTGTAACGATCAAGATCCTGAAAATCACTTTTAATTCAATACATTCAGTGTGCCTGATTTGGAGGAAAGAAAAAAAATAAAATTACCAATTTTCGGTCAGTAGTCCCTTTTGCCCTATAAGAATGTTTTAAAAAAAAAATTTCCAATCTTTAGATGCTCGAAATAACGAATTTTTGAAAGAAAAAAGTTGAAAAACTTGAATTTTGCCAATTACGTCACGGTCGACTATTTTAATTTTGTTTTCAGTAATTCTTATAATGAAAACGAAAATTTTGAGCCGTCATACATGTTGGGTTACATCCAGGATCTATTTTTTTTCAATTTTTTCTTCTTAAAATTGTAAAAATTTGGTGAAAACACTTTAAAACGACTTTAATTGTGTATCGAAAAAGTATGTAATATATAGGTATATATTTAAATTTACTTTATACTGTTTATAATCAAAGTCAACCAATGACATTTTGAGGTGTTTTGACCGAATTCGCGTAATTTTGAAAAGACAAAATTTAAAATAAAATAGATCTAAGACGAAACCCAATATGTATGACGGCTCAAAATTTTTCTTTTGATTATAGGAATTACTGAAAAAAAAAAAGAAAATAACCAACCGTGACGTAATTAGCCAAATTCCAGTTTTTCAACTTTTTTTTCGATAATTCGTTATTTCGAGCATCTAGAGATTGCAAAAAATTTGGACAAAAAACATTCTTATAGGTGGTGAAAAATGAAAAATTTTGGTCCCTAATAAATCGAAATCGGATGAGTAGAACTCGAATTATTGTAAAAAAAACGAACAATTTGAGAAAAAAAATATCTCCGAACTGGGCTGTCAAAAAAAATCTTTAAAAATTTGAGAGATATTTTTTCAAGCCCCCCAATCGTAGAAAAAATCGCCATCAATTTTCAAGAGGGTGAGGGTCAGCCGTTGACTCATTTGGCATGGAATACCTCATATAATTGTATATATTGTAAAAACTGCCATATTATGTTAAATAAATGCCTTTAAACGTAAAAGTATTGAGATATTTTCCGTGAAAATTCGTCGGCCTCAATTTTCAAAGTTCTTTCGTTTGGTTTTTTTTAACACTCCGTTGGTCGCGCAAAAGTTACGAACGTCGTTGGTCGCGCCATAAGCGTCGCGTCGCACCAGCATAAATCAACATACTGATAAATTTGGAAGATCTAGGAAAAATCAGAAAAAAATTGAGAGCTATCTAGCTCGTATATTTAAAAAAGAAGTCCCGCGAGATTTTTTATGTTCACTGTGACCGTTCATTATATATTCACGATCAAAGTTGCCGCGAATGATCTTGAGTCGGCAGGTAATTCAAGCAAATCAAATACAAACTTCCTATTCACTGTTTCGGGAATGAGTTATTTTATGAGCCTACGTCAAGAAATCTTTTTTTACGACTGAGGCATTTTCCAACAAGAATGAGCTTTTAATTTTTTTCCAATCCCACGTCTTTCCTGGGCAAAAAATGATAACTGTTTACAAGTGGTAATGAATAATTGAGTGAGAAAACGCCAGTTTTTTTTCTGGTTATTTCCCTGATTATCCTTCCGAACAATAGTGGACCAATCAGAAGAGAATTATATCGAGAATTTTTCCCATCCAAAGTTTCGGAATAAAGATTTGAAAATCTAACTACTTATGATATTTTTGGCGGATATCTTCATTGGTAGGACTTCTAGACACTTCAAAATGAGATGTAAAATTTTGCAAATTTTTCTGAGGCTTTACTACCGTGTAATTTAAAAAATCGGAAAAAGTGCCGCGCGACGCTCGTAGCGCAAGAAAACGGAGTGTTAATGAGAGGGGAAAAAAGGTAGAAAATATATGTCGAACAATTTCTATATAAAGCATCTCACTAGAATAAGTTGAATGGGAAGGTTAAATTTTGTTGATGTTTTTCCATGAAATACTTTCTATTGACCACTTACTATTGAAAAAAAGCCCCAGGAATTCTACAGAATTTTTTGATAGAATTGACGAAAAACTAATGAAATTTCCCGTAAAAGTCTAACAGAAATTCAATAGATTTTTTGACAAAACTGTGATTTTTTTATTCATTTTTTGTAATACATGCCTGAAACATTTCCAGACGGTTTAGCGAGCGGAAAGTGCTTGTTTTCCGCACGACATGCGTAAAGCTCATTAGAGGTTGTGCAATAGTACACACCTCCCACGGGTCAAACAATACTTTTACGCCTTCGTACAAAAAATATCATTTATCCTTTTTAAAAAATATGATGTATCGAAGAAGTGCCCACAATCGTGATTTTCTATCAATGAAACGTCAAAAACGTCAGAACCGATTAAATAAACGATCGAATTCGGCAAAAATCGGATAAAATCCCAATAGAATTTTAAAGTACGAGATCGGCGGCGCGTGCTACACTGAGAAAAAAAATTATTTTTGCTAAAGATCCGTTTACTTGAGAGAAGTATTTATTTTTTCAATACTGTATTTCTCCACTCAAGTCATTTCCAGGGAATCCTCATTAGGTTTCAATCATGGCAATTATATTCCTCTAGAAGATGATCATGTTAGTTATGATCTTGAGTGAACTCCCTCAATAATTATCAACATTAAAAAATTTAGTAAAAATGAATAATCCTTCGAGGAGTTTATCCAAAGTCATGTGCAACATCCCGAGTAGAAATTTCGTCGGGAGCCCCCAACATATGGGGCCTATTGTAAGAAAATTATTTTTTCGTGTATTTTTCTTGCAATAAATTTCGTTAAAATTAATGAAAACGTTACAAATTTGTAGAAATTCTATTCAGAAGATCAATCACTTGATTTTGATTGCTTCTACTTTATATATTTTTTCTGGCTATCGGAAGTTAATGAGTTGCGTTGCTATTCAGCGCACAGTGACATTAGTGTCAAAAGGACACTCTTATTGAGGAGTTAATCATCATCAATACATTCCTTCGTTATCCGGTCTAAATGTTACGGTAAAAAATATTACGCCATAATATTACGGTAAATAATATTACGATCCAAATTGTTACGGGTCTAATTATTATTGGTCGTTTTTATTATTGGAAATAATATTACAACGTTTTTACCGACGTCGGTGTTATTATTCATTATTATTTTCCGTTATTTATAGCATTTCTTTTGTTTCACAAATTCGTAATTTGTTGAATAAAAAACCTTTGTGTAATACTAGTTTTGCGCCTTTTTGGCTGAGATTGAAGTGAAGAGACATGGTAATTATTTCAACGCACCCGTGTCGAGCATTCCGATATAATTAACTTTTGTTGAAGAATCTTCGGTTTTGTGTGTGAATGTTTGAGGGAATTTTACTTTGTTTTGGGGGATTAATATAATCGTACCAACTCATACACCTGTTGAGTAATCGATGGTAACTGACCTTGGGCCATATTTTTTGGTGTTGGGCTATTATTGTATCGATTTGATTTTCGGAGAATTCCTAATCGAGCGGATAAAGGTTTATCCTTGATTCCATACCTTTATGTAGGGTAATATTACGGTTCAATAATTTTTTGTCCCGTAATAATTTTCTGCGTAATATTTTGTCCCATAATATTTTTGCGTAATATTTTTTACCGTAATATAATGGTTCCGTAATATTTAGACCTGCAACCCATTTCTTCAGCTAGCAGACATCATTTAAATTGAAAAAAAGGAGATTAACAATTAATTATGTCTTTATCAGCTGATGTTTTATATTATTCTATACCTCACGCGACCTTGGCGTGCTCGCTCATGTGTCTGGATGAGTCGTATTGCTTCGAATTCACTCAACGTCTTTGGTTGAATAATTTCATCAAGTGCACCTACTGTACGCAGTACGTCACTGATAAATGTTCGTCGCTCTTGTATTTCCGTCTCTCTCTCGCGTCTGATGTAAGTTGGTATCCTCAGCTCAGCCTCCTGCGGTAGTATTCCATATTTCATGAGAATGTCATCGCAGTAATTGTACTCTGACAGATCGACTTCGACGAGTTCATGTTTCAACTCGAGAATTCGACCCAGCGTTGCATCCAACAATTTTCGGATTAAGGAGCGCTTCTGGGGCTGGGTCACTTGGTCGTAGCATTGCTCCAATTTATTGCATATCACTATGTACCGGATGTAGAGCTCTGAGACATTTCGATGGACCTTTTTCCGGTCCTTTTGGGGCTTCGAGTTCTGGAGATTTGAATCCGCTTGGATTATCTCGTCTAAAGAACATTGCGCGTCTCTCCAGAGTTCGTCGTATGTTACATTAGACATTTTTAGTGGATTTTATTTGTGTTTTAATTTTTGCACTTTTATATTATCCACTTTTTCTCCCAATTTTCGATCGGTTTTGCCGAATATTTCGAATTTGAAGACAGTTTGTGAAATATTCATATGAGGTATTCTATGCCAAATGAGTCGACGGCTGACCCTCACCCTTTTGGAAATTGATCTCGATTTTTTCTGCGATTGGGGGACTAGAAAAACTCAATTTTTTTCAGATTTTTTCGACAGTCCATTTTGGAGATATAATTTTTTCTTTATTTTTTCGTTTTTTTCAATAACTTGGGTTCTATTCACTCAATTTTGATTTATGGCGGCTTTTGAGTCGTCTATTTTAATTTTCCATTTTTTTACCATCTATAAAAAGATTTTGAGAATTTTTTTTTCAATGAGCAGGTGGTCATAATACCAAATTTTCAACAAAAGATTTGAAAAGCTTGAATTTTTAAAATTATGTCACCTTTTATTTTTCTCGTCTTTTTTCAGTAACTCTTATAATCAAAACAAGTATTTTGAGCTGTCATACAAGCTGGGTTTCGTCGTGGATCTATTTTATTTTTAATTTTTTCTTCTCGAAATTCCGTGAATTTGGTGAAAACACCCCAAAACGAATTCCAAAACGACGATCAAAAAAATATGTAACATATAAGTATCCATTTAAATTCACTCCATACTGTTCATAATCAAAGTCAATCAACGTCATTTTGGGCTACTTTCCCAAATTCGTGGAATTCCGAGAAGAAAAAATTGAAAATAAAATGTATCTAGGACGAAACCCAACTTGTATGACGGCTCAAAATACTTGTTTTGATCAGGGATAGCCAAATTCGTAATATTTTATTATAAATATTGTAGCCATCAATTAGATAACATCACTCTTGAAATTTTTGACTACTTAAGTATCATCAATTCAAATATTCAAATTTTCAACTATTTTATCAATCGATAATTGAGGTAGGAAGATTGATGATTATTTGTGTAATCGAAAATCCCCTTTCAAAAAATTTGAATTATTCATTTAGTAGTAAATTTACAGCTTCATATTAACAAATTTTGAATACATCATTATTCGTAAAAAATCAGATTGTTAATATTATATTATTTGAAAAATTTAATCAACATATTTTAAACCTTCTTTAATGTGAGGGTCAAATTCTTGTAATATTACAGAAATTTAATATTGATGGGGATCCCTGGTTTCGATTACGAAAGTTAGTGAAAAAAAGACGAGAAAAATAAAACGTGACATAATTCGAAAAATTCGAATTTTTAAACTTTTTTTTTGAAAATTCGGTATTATGAGCATCTAGGGGTTGAAAGAAAAATTACTCAAAATTATCTTATAGATGGTAAAATATCGAAAATTTCGACCTGTCATAATACAAAATCGGATGAGTAGAACTGGAGTTATTGAAAAAAAAACGAAAAAACAAAGAAGAAATCATCTCCGAAATGGGCTGTTGGAAAAATCTGAAAAAATTGAGAGATAGTTTTTTCAAACCAAAAATTCTTCAACGTTTTTAATTTTGGGAATATTCGTCAGAAGCGATTTTCTACTGGAGTTCACTCGTCTTGTTTCGTCACTGTATTACTGAATCATTTCTTCTGTTGAACAATAATTGCCGGCTTTCATTGTTGCCTTGGAGATCGTAACAATGGGAATTACCTTAGAAATATCGAATACACAATCGAATTGTTTTTTATTCGTTTCGATAACAATTATTTTCAAAAATACATTTTTGCTTCCGAATGGAAGCATTGTAATCGTTCTATTTTTCGATTTTCTAATTTTGCTTGGAAATGATGTAGAATGATCTGAAACGTAAAAATACGAAGTTTGGAGACCATGTCTGTCGGTGTCAATGTCTATCGCCACCTGTCCGGTGGTCATTTTTTGGAAAATCGAGTAATAAATTGACTAAACTTATTCCAAAAAATCTGAAATTTTGTCAGATTATAGTTCGTAACTAGGACTAACTCTGTGCCAAATTTCAGCCTGATCGATCAAATACTTTCTGAGGAAAGGCTATTCGTTTATAAATCGTTTTTCGTTAATATCTTCGAAACTAGCCAACCGATTTCAATTTTTTTTTCTTCAAAATATTCGTCTCGATGCCTTCTATCTGAATCAATTAAAACATATATACCCGTTCATACAAAGTTTTCGAGATATTTCAGATTTTCAGTTTTTTCATAAAAATCCTTGTAATCACGCTAGCTTGTGTAAAAATTGAGATATCAACTTGAAATTTGGACAGAATCTTCCCCCCACGATGATAATTTTTCCTATTGAAAATGAGCCAATCGACTGAGTAGTTTCGGAAATATTCGACTTTCCCTGAAAACCTTCTGTCTGCGATAGCTCAAAAACTATTCGACCGATTTCATTTTTTTTTTCAAAATATTCGTCTTGATGCCTTCTATCTGAATCAATCAAAAAATATATACCCGTTCATATAAAGTTTTCGAGATATTTCAGTTTTTCAGTTTTTTCATAAAAATCCTTGTAATCACTCTAGCTTGTGCAAAAATTGATATATCAACTTGAAATTTGGACAGAATCTTCCCCCCACGATGACATTTTTTCCTATTGAAAATGAGCTCAATCGACCGACTAGTTTCCGAGATATTCGACTTTCCCTGAAAACTTTCTGTCTGCGATAGCTCAAAAACTTTGTATGAACGGGTATATATGTACATTCTGTGGTTACTCGTTTCAATATTTGTTTCGATGCCATCTATCTAATCAATTAAAACACATCTACCCGTTCACAGCAAGTTTTCAGAGAAAGTCGAACTACGATCCATTCGGAAGCTTACTACCAATGAAATTGGTAGAAATGAAAGAAAGAGAAAGAATTATAACACAAAAGTAACAGTCTGATGGCTTCTGCCAAAAAGGCTTCAACCCCTGCTTGTTTTTTATATCAATGAAATTACAATATCAATGAAATTACAATCATAAATGAGTACTAATGATAAATATTCAATTTATCGTAAGACAATTGTTTTGTTTTATATAAATGAGTAGCTAGTATAATTAGTCAGTAGTTTTACGGACATTCTAACGGCAAATCACAATCACCGGTAATTTCTCATCTCAACACATGGGGTCAGTATAGCCCAACAAACACTGGGCAACGTAACCTACAAATCATGACACTTTCGAAGCATTCTCCTCAATGTTTATGACTCATTATTTACTAATTAGAAGGATTATTTAGTACTTTGAAGAGGATTCGTCATGGCATCGGTTTACAAGTACGTAGAAACCCTAATTACTTCTTCAAACAATTTGAAAAATGCTTTTCAAATACCCTAATTATTTTGATTGCACATTTCAGGACAATTTACCCGGTCAAGTACCTCAGAGATCACTTGGTAGGACATTTTCAATTATTGTGATAGATAGCATAACAATTAGAAACCTTGCATGCTTTTGACGTTTCGTTCAAGAAGTAACGAGTTTATCCCTCAGACGTATGAATATCATATTATATTTCTATTAAAATTCTATTGAAAAATTCTGCAGCTTTTCTGTACGTCTTTTCAAATAGAAATGTTGAAAAATTAATATTCTGTAGAAAAAATCAATACGTTCCAATCTTTTGACATAATTTGCCTGTTTTTTTAGTTAATTTCAATAAAAAATATTCTATAGAAAAAATCAATACGTTTCAATCTTTTGGCCGAATTCGTCTGTTTTTGTTTAGAATAATTTCTATAGAAGATATCTCACTAGAATAACTTGTGAGAAAACATCAAAATCTATTTATTTTATTCCATTACGTATTTCCTATAAAATATTTCTGTTGGAAATACACGTTAAAAAATTCCGGAATCATTCAATAAATCTTGCGAAAGACTAATACAATTGGAAGCACAATCCAATGGAATTTCCAACTAGTGAGTTACATTTTCCTGTCAATTTTCTGTTGTACGTGTATATCTATCGATAGAAGAAAATTGAGGAAAAAATTTCCAATATCTGAAACATATTTACTTGAGACAAATAATTTTTCTTCAATCACTTAATTCTCCTAGTCATCTCAACTCACATGGCCCGAGAAAGATCTCCTGCTTTAAAATATTCTTGTACACTGAGAGAAAAACAAACACGTTGTCAAACAAGTCTTGTTTGGGGCAACAAAATCGCTAGTTGAAAATTGCCAAAAAAACAATTTGTTTGATTCGAATTTGAAAGTCTCAATCATGAATAATTGATCTGCTTTCGACAGCAACGGAATATTTGGCTCAAGAGGCGGATAATTCACACCAGACAGAAAATTTATCAACAAATATTTTATCCCTAAGTTACAAGATTGCTATCATATTATTATTGTTTCATTTAAGGGTTCATTTCTTGTTTGTGATTATTAGACCGATGAAACGAAAAACTACTATCCCTTGCTTCACATAAAACAAAGATTTTTTGGGAGCAAAATACGTATGGGAGTATCGAATAACGAAGGAGTAGTGCTAGAAATGACATTTCTTGCGTGTACAGAGAATGCATTTTTTTAAACTACTAAATCTATTTTTACGACAAAAATTTTTCATTCCGGCGCACTCCCTGCATGTTTCGCACAAAAAAATCCTTTTTTAATAATTTTCAAAAAACCATTTTCTTGGGGCAAGTAAGACTTATTTGAGAACTTTGTCGTTTTTCTCTCGCTGTACTCAAGCACGATTTTATCGCAAATGAACTCATTCAAATCGTGTAGAAAAATCTTCAATCTTCAAGTGTTTATTGTTTTCATGATTTTTCTATGCATTTCCAATGGTTCGATCTGTAATATATTCATGATGTAACGCGGAACGATAGCGATAAATGAGAATGTATTCGGCTTTCGAGAAACGCGACCATTCTGAGATGTAAGCCATTGAAAATAATTTACGTTTCTCAATTAAATATGGTCTACATATTATGACATTTTTTTCTCAATGTATAGTAAAATGAGCATCAATTTTTTTAATCAGAAAATATTGAAAACGCACGGAAAAGTTGCATAATTTTCACTAGAAATCAGCGCAAAGAATAGATAGAATTTTCATATACTTTCAATGAAATTGTTCTAGATGTCCAAAAGAAAATCAATCGAATTTCTTAAAGAAAACACCAGGTTTGCCTATTAAATTTTTTGTCATTCCGGCCGTGAGGCAGCGCTTCACGGACGCTGCGCTCCGCTCCGCGTCCGTGAATCTCTGCCTACGGCCGTCATAACAAAAAATACTGTTCGTCATACGGCAAAAAAAACTTTTCTAGCTCATATGATTGCAGCCCTCGCCTTCGGCTCGGGCTGCAAACTCATATTCGCCAGAAAAGTTTCTTTCGGCCTAGTGACGAAATATACTATTCTCATTACGAATACACAAAAATTACACAAAAAATTCATCAATTATGCTCAGTCTATTGCCTGTTTCATGAGTAGAAAAATTATTTGATTTGTGTTCTTCCTGATGGAGCTAAAATAATTCAGCGAAACGTCGCATTATAAAAATTTAATCAGCTTTGTAATTATTTCTCCAATATCCCTTGACCCTCTCGTCATTAATTAGCATCATAAATCTGAGAACAATTATCGGAGGAAAATTATCTCGTGTAATCCCCAATTTAATGAGCTTCCAACATTTCTAAAAAGTCAAAAGCGTCCATTTCTCACTCAACGGCTTTCCTCATTATCATTTAATTAATTCCAGTCTCAGGAGATAAGACCGGATGGTCGAGAATTTCTCGGCTTTCGACCGGTCAGTGTTAACGTCTCTTCAATTAGTCAGGCAGACAGCTCTGCAATATTCAAAATTGGAAATACCACTGTTGTATGTGGAATCAAGGCTGTGAGTAATCTCCTCCTTGGGAGAGTATTACCCGATGATTTTTAAATTGAATGGCATTTAAAATTTTCTCCTCTCGAATAGGAATTGGCTGCTCCCAGAGCTGACGCTCCGGACTGTGGATTTTTAATCCCGAATGTGGGATTATCTCCCCTCTGCTCCTCGAAATTTCGTCCAGGGCCTCCGAGTGATCAAGCTCAAGTGGCTACGAAGATTATTGACAATATCCTGTGGAACTCTGGAATTATTGACCTTAAGGATTTATGCATCTGCAAGGATAAACTGGCTTGGGTGTTGTATTGCGATCTGGAATGCATCGATTCTGATGGATCGATCATTGACGCCTGCTTGGGGGCTCTCATGGCGGCTCTATCCGCTTGTAAGACATTTTTCACTATTTTCTATGTTCAGTACTGCTGAAAAATTTTGGGAATTGTGTGGCATATCCAGGCATAGCCATATCCATAAATGATAATTACCGTTAAATATTGAAACCGTCAATTAGTTAACATCACTATTAAATTTTTCAATTATTGAAGTAGTCATCAATTTAAATATTCGAATTCTGACTACTTTATTAATCAATAATTTAGGTAGGAAGATTGACGATTTGGTTAATCGAAAATCCCCTTTTAAGAAATTAGAATTATCTATTTAATGGTAAATTTACAGTTCCATATTATCGAATATTTAATTCATCATCAATCGGAAATTTAAAATTATTAATATTATAGGGGAGAGTGGGGCAAAATGAAACAGACGAAAAATGACAGTTTGATGCAATTCAAGCAAAAAATTTTTTTTGTTCAATTTTTTTTATTAACTTTTTTTATTATTGGGAGTACTGATGAGAATAATAATTTTCTATTCGTCTTATAATTCAATTGATTAAATTAGGCTGATTACACTTTTATTTTTTCATTCGATTGAAATTTAGCATCACATTTTCCTTTTTCCCTCTTTGGGCCTCCCCCTGAGCCTTCCTCTGGACTTTGGATTTTGTTGTTTTATTTTGTTTTCAATTAATCCATTGACAAAATCTTTGCTCGTAAAAACTTCTCAATCATTTCTCATTCTACTGAATGGCAAATTATTATTCTCATTAGTACTCTCAAGAATAAAAAAAGTTGAGAAACAAAAGTTAGTAAAAGAAAATATTTAACAAAGAAAAATTTTTCTGCTTGAATTGTGTTAAACAGTGATTTTTCGACGTGTTTCATTTTGCCCCATGTTCCATTTTGTCCCACTCTCCCCTACTATATTTTAAATTTTGATGAGTATATTCAAACCTTTATCGATGTAAGTCGAAAATCCTTGTAATATTGAAGAAAAATAATATTGATGGCCATCCTTGGGAATGTTCGTGAAAGTGTTAGAGGATCCTAGAATCATATTATGAGTATTGTTGAAAATTTTGAATTTTTGATGAATTTCCCCGAAAGTGAGTTTTCTGATGGTTTCTTCAAATGTGATGTTTCAAATTCATTCAAGTATGTGTAAATAAAATTTTTCTATTGCCATTTCATCAAAAAGTTGAGGGGAGAGATAGAAGTGTAAAAAAGACAATCGGTTGTATAGAAGAAAAGGGATAATAAGAATAATCATGCTGCTGACATTCAGGGATAGCCAAATTCATAATATTTAATTACCGTAAAATATTGTAGCCATCAATTAGTTGACATCACTCTTAAATTTTTTGAGTACTTAAATATCATCAATTCAAATGTTCAAATTTTTAACTATTTTATCAATCAATAATTGAGGTAGGAAGATTGCCGATTATTTGTGTAATCGAAAATTCCCTTTAAAAAAATTTGAATTAAAATCATTTAGTGGTAAATTTACAGTTCCATATTGACAAATTTTAATTCATCATTATTCGAAAAAATCAGATTATTAATATTATACTGTTTTTAAATTAGATCAACATATTTTAAACCTTCATTATTGTAAGCGTCAAATTCTTGTAATATTGCAGAAATTTAATATTGATGGCGATCCCTGATAACATTCAACTAAGTTGAAAATCTGACAAAATTAGGTAAAAGGAAATCTTATTCAATTCAATAAAATTGAATAAACAATGAATTATACACGATAGAAAGAAATGATGTGCAAAATAACCATTCAGACGCATGTTGCTAATTTATTAGCGAAAATAACTATACTATATACAATACAAAGGCAAATTTCCCACTTGTTTTCCAGTGACATTACCTGCAGTTCTCCATAATGCCGAGTCGCAGTCGACCACAGTCCACCCCAATAACAGAGCTCCTGTACCTCTAAAAGGGATTTTCACGTCCACAACGTTTGCAGTTTTCGATGAGTACGTATTGCCTATTTTTAAATTTTTACCGAAATTTTCCATCCACACAATTTTGTCGTTCGAAATGTGTAAATTATTTTTTTTGGAATGGAAACTTTGCAATCGACCGAGTTGGCGATTTTCAATTTTTGCCTAGAAATGATGTAGTATGTCATGGAACTTCGTAATATGATATTTATAGTAAATGTATGTGTGTGCGTATTTTTGTGAATTCTTTATAAATTTGTTAGAAAATTCTCTTGGATTTCCATAAAATCGCTATTGAAAACTATAAATTTTTCACCGATTCTATTGAGATTTTTTTGTGGAAATTCCTCGGCCTAAATTTTCAAAGTTGGTTTGTTTGATTTTTTTTATGAGAGAAGGGAAAAGGTAGAGATAAAGTGTTTCAATAGAATAAGTTGTCTGGGAAGGTCAAATTTTATTGATGTTTTTCTATAAAATAGTTTCTATTGACCACTTACTAATGAAAAAAACGCGCAATAAACCTAAAATTTTTTTTATGGAATTGGCGAAAAACTAATGAACTACCCATAGAAATCTAATAGAAATACATTACAATTTTAAACAAAGCTGTGATTTTTTAATATTTTTTTTTGTAATACTTGCCTGAAACATTTTTGAGACGACTTAGCGCTAGTAAATACCTATTTTCGGCACGACGTGCGTAAAGTTCACAATGAGAAAAGTTTGTCGAGAAGTACGTCTTTACTTGTGTCAAGAAAGCTCATAGATCAAAAATTGACATGAAGAAAATAACTCACACTGAAAAAAGAAACCTTTCGTCAAAAAATTCGTCGAAACAAATTTTATATTTTAGACTTAAAGGTGCCAAGTGAATTTGAAAAAAGATTCAAAAAAATTTTTTTCTTTCCCTCCATCATTGGAGAAATATGTATTCATCCATCCGACGAAATTTCAAACCCGCAACCGGAACTAGACATCGAGAAAATAAATGCGGAAAATCCTCTATTTCGCGTGACGAACCTCGAGAAAGCATGGGATCAAATGGGTACGGCGGGTTGAATTATCTCTCTTATTCACCCCGGTACCCCATTGTTTTTTGTCACCATCACATTGAACACATCATTCCCCATATCTTCAAATTTTTTCAAATTTTTCTTGAGTTCCTAGGGGGTTGAAACGTTCAATTTAATTAAAACTCCATAAGAGGCCGTGTATAAGACTGATTTTGTTTATTTAATTTCTCGATATCCATAAGTTCTAAAATTTTTAAATTGTCACCGATGTTCACCATCTGTCTAATACTATTAATTAAAAAAATTATAACTTTGTTGGTGAATGTCAATTCTCAAGGTCATCGCAAAATTCACTTGGCACCCTCAAAGACGACTGAACAAATTGATTCAACTAGGCTTGATTTGAGAAATCCCTTTTTCGTTATAAAAAAATTATTCTCCTTTTTGGGGCCAGTACAAATTCACTTGAAGAAAGTTTTATCTTTCTCAGTGTGAAATATTTTCTTCATGTCAATTTGCGAGCCATGAATTTCTTGATACAAGTGAAGGCGTACTCATCAAAAACCTTTTTTTTCTCAGTATAGAGGTTGTGGGTAAAGTAAACTCTCGTGCGTTTACTGACTCCGTGCAAGAAAGGGTGATATGATATTTATAGTAAATGTACGTGTGTGGAGATTTTTTGTGAATTCTTTATTAAATCTGCACAGAAAAAGGTGTACAGCTAAAGAATAGGGATAGCTACAACATGATGACAGGACTGTTTTAGGATGAACTATACCCTTTCGGCCAAAATTCACGTTTTTTCCATTTTTCTGGCAAATTATTGATAGGATTGATGCGAAATAATATACCGTTTTTGCATTTTATCATTATTGACTGATTCACGAAGTTTCATGGTAGTGCGATCATTTTTCTGCATTTTTTCGAAAGTTTTGTGAATTTCGGAAAAGTTTTAGAAAAAACACAGGAAAATGAGTGCACGATCATGAAATTTCGTGAGTCATTAAGTAATGATAAAACGCAAAAACCCTATATTTTTCACGTCAATCCGATCAACAATTCAATAGAAAAATTCAAAAAACCTGAATTTTGGCGAAAAGGGTGTAATACACGCTAACTAAGGAGAGACTACTGTGAGTTTTAAAAATCGTGAATTATTGGAGTGAGGCTTTTCATAGGTAGAAGATCGATTATATAGATCTGGAAACGAATAATTAGTGCAAAAAAAAATTTTTTTATTGTTCGTTTGCCCGAACGCTTAAAATAGTGATAGTTAAGAAACTGACATTTCGTCTCATAATGTATGTTTTTTGGGTGTTTTTTTTTGCACTAATCATTCTTTTTTAGATATATATAATGGATCTTCAATGTACGAGAAATATCATTCCGATAGCCCGCGACTTTTAAAAGTCATAGTAGTCTCCCCTTAATAAAATCATTGAGGCAATTTATTAACTACACAAAAAAATAAGTACGATGTGTCTTGCACAAGAGCTCCGAAGAGAATCCGACACAAATCCATGTTAGCCAAAAGACAATCATTACCAGGAGGGGTTTCTCGGTATTCTCAGGAATATAAGGAATTGAATTCAGTAACAAAGTGGTAAAACGGTTTAAGTCGACTTATCTCCCAGTTGAGTGTTTGAGGAATATTTCCGAATCAAGCAAAATTTTCGTAATTACATTTGTTGTAGCACTCAATCAGCTCTACAAAAAAGGTTATAACAACAATTTTGCTATCTCCGTTAGACTCCGAGATATTCACCGAAAACTGATCAATAGTCAAAATTGACTTTCACCGTTTTACCACTTCGCCACTGAATTACAATTCGAAGGGGAATACGTAACAATAAATACCGGATGAACGCCATCGGGCGAATTTCGTTGAAGAAAAAAATTTAGTAATTTTCGCTTCTCATTTAAGGAATTTATTACTTGCCGATCCGACTGACGAAGAAGAAACTCAAGCTCTGGCCAGATTCACAATAGTCATGAACAAAGACGAGTTGTGTTACATCCACAAACCTGGTAAGTTCAATAAAAATTGATGAACCAATCAGTAAAATCCAATTTCAGGTGATTCAGAATAATATGTTCAACATCTTAACTTTCAGGTGGAGTTCCCATCAGTCCAGATCTCCTCTCAAAAAGCATAACAAGAGCCAGAAGTCGATCGGAGAACTTCAGCAGTCTAATCGCCACAGCGATATCTCCAAAATGATACAATAAAACGAACCAAAAAACGAAAATAAATCATTGTAAATCTTTTCTATCACTTTCGAAAAAATATACTCCTCATTTATCATTGATTGATACAAATCTACAAGAAACGTTTATTGCATTATTATCATCGTAAATGATCAATTATGTAAGTCCATTTCAATGATTGCAAGTTCATTCAGGACGATCAGAGTCATGTCATCATGATCATCAAACATCCACTTATAAATATCCCCGAGAAAGAAACAGAATGGAGAATTCAATTATTACATAATAATAATCCAATAAAATTTGTAGTCTCCAATTCTCAATTTCAGTCATTTATTATCTTCATTCTATCAAAAGACAAGGATAGAAATCGAATTTATGGGTAATTCGTCCGTTATTCGAAAAAATATATTAATCGTTTCTTCTCGCCTACGTTCTTTTACATTTTTTCATTTCTTCTTGTTAAAATTAAATATTAGAATTCAAAAATATTCATATCCCGTCCGTATTTGAAGAAAAAACAGTGATTCTAAGCTTCCATCGATAGAAATGACGATAAACAAATTTTCTCTATTTTCTAGTCCATCATTCTTTTTAACAATTTTCAGTCTCCAATTCATGATTTTTACAATTCATTGCCATTTAGGTAATTCTATTCATTCTATCAAAAGACGAGAATAGAAATTGAATTTATGGATATTCTTTCATTATTCGAAAAAAAATTGATTTTAAAACTTTCCGGAGACTTTGAAAAATTAACTTTTTTAGTTCTTTCTGCCCACTTTTTTGCATTTTTTAAATTTCTTCTGGCTAAGATATTGATATCCCTCAAATATATAATGAAAAAATGCGATTCAAAGTTCTCATCGATATAACAGAAGAAAAAAAATTGATTCTCGAGCCGATTATCCCTTTCTGATTCTTTTGTCATTTCCTTTCCATCATGATAATAATTGGAATCCGACCATAGGAATGAGGCGTACCGATATCCTTTTACCATATGAAGGAAAAAATGGATTTTTAACATTTTCAGGAATACATGGTGAGATTTTTCTATTACCCGAACATTACAAATGATTTTTGTTTTGTTTGTTTGAATGGATAAAATTAAATTGATCTAATTGTGAAGACGGAAGTGGAAATAAAATAAAATAGCACAAAGTAATCTACTGACGGGCGCGAAGCGCCCGTTCGCAAATCTAAATAATCAGAAAAAAACAAATTAATCATTGAAATTCATTTTTATATCTTCCAAAAAATATATTTCCATTGATTATGAATTGATACAAATAAATACAAAAAATACTGATTAATTGAAGGCACACGAAACACAAAACCATTCAATTATATTGGACATTATCATTAATTATCAATTAGGCAGGTGATTTTCAATGATTGGAATCATGGAATCATGACCATCAAAGTTATAAAAATTCTTATCAGAAAATCCCAGGAAAGACAATCAGAAGGTGCAGGTCTTCCTCATGATTCTCATGAATTCCTCCTGCGATATCTCCCCATCTCCATCTCTATCTGCCTCATCAATCATCTCCTGCAGCTCCTCATCAGTCAGATTCTCCCCCAGCTCCTTGGCAACTCTCTTCAGGTTCTTGAAAGTTATCTTTCCAGTGTCATCATCATCGAAGAGCCTGAATGCTCGCAGAATCTCCTCCTTCGTATCCTTCTCCCCCATCTTGAGGGTCATTATGTTAAGGAACTCCTCGAAGGAGAGTTTTCCGATGCCATCGGGGTCAGCGTCGGCCACCAGTTTCTTCAGCTCCTCCTTTTTGGGCTCAAATCCAAGAGCACGAAGGACCACCTTCAACTCTTTTGTTGGTATCTTTCCTGTGCCATCTGGATCGAAGAGGTCGAAGGCCTCTTTGATGTCTGATTTCTGATCCTCGGTTAGTTCCACTCTCTGGGGACCCTTTTTGCGAGAGGCAATCTGTTTCTTCAGAGTTGCAGCCTGTGGATTATTGCGAATTATTTCATTTCAGGGATGCCCATCAATATTACATTTCTTCAATATAAAGGGGATACATCGGTGAAATTTAAAAATCTTCACGGGCCTTGGGACCCATTGAACAGTTTGTGATATAATGGAATATGGGAATAACTAGGAAAAATAGCGGACCCCATCGATTTTGCCCCATATGACCACAAAAACCTTCATTGTTTCCTGTTTTTACCTTCAAAATGCTCCTTGCGCCGTAGGAGCAACAATACAATTTTAGCTTTTTTTCAAAATGGTCGTTACACTCTAAAGAATAAAGTGAAACATCCGTTTTACTTTATTCGCAATAGATCACGAATAAATGAATTTTAAATTTCGTAAATTTTTCGCACCTCTAGAGTGGAATAAAATTTATGAAATTAAAAATTCATAAATCATTAAATATTTAATAATATAGAACTGTAAATTTTCCATTAAGTGAATATTTCTAATTTCTAAAATGGATTATCGATTAACTAAATAATCGGCAATCATCCTACCTAAATTACTGAATAAAATAGTTCAAAATCTGAATATTTAAATTGCTGATTAATTGAATAATTAAAAGTTTAAGGATGATGTTAACTGATTGACGGCTTCTAAATTTAACGGTAATTATGATTTCTGTCGTGAATTGGTAAACTAGGATAAGTGCAAAAAAACAAATTTTACAGGAGAGCTGAAAAACTGTTGCTGCCTTTGTGAATAGGGTTTCGAGGGTATTGGCGCTACATTTTTCCCTTTTTATTGGGTCTTTTTTTTAGGTACCAGTATCACGCACGCAAGATGCAATTTGAGTAAAAATTCTGCACTTATCCTTAGTGACTAGATTTTCGGGAAAGATAAGTCAACTTATCTTTTTCGATGACTCAATCAACTGGATATATGTTGACTTATCTCCTGGTGCTCTAAGTAACGATGATAGTCAATTGACCGATTCTTTGAACAAAACGTAAAAGAAGTTCATTGTATCCTTATGACCCTATGGAACAGAAGTAAACAATATGTCCCCAAATACATGGATCATGTTTATTCTATTTCTCCATGTTTCATCTCGAACTGTGGTCTTGGTTGGACGATGAAAACTACTCAAGGGCTTATTTTTTAAACAAAAAAATTCAGTTTGTGGGGGAACTCGGTGGGGGCAAAATGGGGTTTTCTTGAGCTTACACGATTCAATGGCGGCAAAGTGATTATTGCGGGAACATGTACGATTGACTGGGGGCAAAATGGATATGTCCTGAACTTATACGATACAATAGGGAAAAAATCGGTATTTCCTGAACTTACATTATTTAATAGGGGTAAAATGGGTATTTCGAGAATTCGTACGATTGAATGAGGGCAAAATGGGTGTTTCGAGAACGTGCACAGTTGAATGGGGGCAATGTGGGTATTTTGTGAAGTTCTGATATTTCATAGAGGCAAAATGGGTATTTCCAGAATTTATACGATTGGAAGGGGGCAAAATGGGTATTTTTTAGACTTGTGAGATTTAATAGGGGCGAAATAGATATTTCTTGAGCTTGTACGATCGAATAGGAGCAAAATGGGTCTTTCGGCAACTTGTAGGATTGAATAGGAGCAAAATGGGTATTTGGAAAAATTGTAGGATTGAATGGGAGTAAAATGGCTCTTTCCTGAACATGCATCATTGAATCGGGACAAAATTGATATTTTGGGACTTTACACCTTATTTAGGGGGAGAGGGGGACCCAAGTTAAACTTGGAAATCTGCAATGGATGAAAATAGCTATTGAACGGCTCTTGATATATGATGGGCCATCATTAATGGCACACCTGAAAAACTAGAAAGAAATCGGCCCCAACCCGTTATGCCTCATACGTTAAACGGAAACCTCAAACGGAAACCAAATACACGAAAAAGAAGGACCTCGTTCAATGTATGAGAAAAAATGGGTTGGGCCCGATTTGTTCTCAGTTTCTCAGGTGTGCCATCATATACCAAGTCATTTAATTAAGGGCCACAAAGAGAAAACTGAATTTCACGAGGGTTCCAAGGGGGAAATTAAATTTCACAAGGGTCATGAGGGGAACATTATATTTCACGAGGAGCAAACGTCACGAGGCTCACGAGGGCCACACTGAAGGAGAAAATAATTTTCTCCTTCATTGCAGATTTCTTGTCTTTGTCCCTATCAAAGGGGGGGGGGGGGCAAGTAAAACTTGAAAGTCTGCGACGAATGCAAATAACTATAATACGTAAAAAATGTATAAAATATAGTATACAGTTTTTTACATGTTAGAAATTTTGAGGGCACCCAGCAGGATCAAAGGTCACGAGGCTTACGAAGGCCAGGAGGAAAAATAGTATATTTCGATACGAGTGGGACGAGGCGTTTGAAATTTAATTTTCCCCTCGTGAGTCTCGTGACGTTTGATACAGTGAAAATTAATTTTCCCCTCGTGGCCCTCGTGAGAGTCGTGAGCTTCGTGAGCTTCGTGATGTTTGGCCCTCGTGAAATTTAATTTTCCCCGCGTGGCCCTCATGAGCCTGGTGATGTTTGATTCTCATGAAATTCAATTTTCGCCTTGTGGGCCTCATGAGCCTCAGGGCATTTGATCTTCGTGAATTTAATGTTTCCCTCGCGAGCCTTGTGATGTTTCATTCTCGTGAAACTCAATTTTTCCCTTGTGGCCCTCGTAAACCTCGTGACATTTGTTCCTCGTGAAATATAATGTTCCTTGACCCTTGTGAAATTTAATTTTCCCCTTGGAACCCTCGTGAAATTCAATGTTCTCCTTATGGCCCTTGTGAGCCTCGTGACGTTTGACCCTCAAGAAATTAAATTTTACCCACGTGGCTCTCGTGACAATTGACCCTCAAGAAATTAAATTTTTCCCTTGTAGCCCTCGTAAGCCTCGAGACGTTTGACGTAAGTCCATTATTTTCACTCTCATAATTGTAAAAATTGATGTCAAATAGATGGTATAATACGTGACGTATAAAACGATGAGTGAATCTTCGTGAAGGCCTTCTATGTAGCTCTCACTTTACTCTACAAAAAAGTCTCCACACTGAGAAAAAAAAATTATTTTTGCCAAATATTTATTTACTTGAGAAAAGCATCTATTTTTTCCAAATCGTATTTCTCTAATCGAATGATTCTCAGGCGAGCCTGATTAGGTTTCAATTATGACAATCATGTTGCTCTAGAGGATGATTACGTTACACATGACCGTGAACGAACTCCTCCAATGATTATTAATTTTTTCAAAATTTTGTATTTTCTAAAGGGAAGAATTTCGATTAACTTTTTAATTTTGATAATTATTGAGGGAATTCAAGGTCATAACTAACATGATCATCTTCAAGAGCAATATAATTGTCATAATTGAAACCTAATGAGGATTGCCTGGAAATAACTCGACTGGAGAAATTTGGTTTTGAAAAAGTAAATACTTCTTTGAAATGAATGAATATTTATTTTAAATAAAAAAATATTTTTTTTCTCAATGCATAGAAATTGACAGATATTCCTCAGAAACTCACAATCAAGTCAACTGATCAATATATATGAATAAAAATTAATTCTTACCATTTTTAATTGATCTCCGGTTGAATTGTTTTAGTTCTTCCTCGTTCACAGGATAAATGACAACTGACAGTCGATTCACCTCAATCCTAACAACCCTGGGTCTCCTTTCTACATGAGTAATTTGTTTAGCATTTGTTTGATCAATATTTCCGTTAATTATTTGTGCATCAGCCACACTAATCGTCCAAAACAAACAAGACCATTTCCCCTTGTCCCATGAAATTACTCATTTATTTCTTTTTTCTTTCACTGTCCTCTTCCGCCTCCCATCGGACGGGCACAGACGAGTGCCGACGAGTCTCCATGGAACTACTAACCTCACCAACATGACTTGGTCACAAAAATTGCAAACGCGTCGACTGCCCCTTGCATGACAGTTGCTTTGTCGGTTTCTCATTTTGTTATTCACTAATTATTCAAGTAGATAATATTCAAACACTATTTTCAGTGTGAGTTGATATAATTGGATTAACAGAATGGTGAGGATTTTTTAAATTACACTTTATTCATTAGATATCCGATCATTCGAATTATCCGTGATTGTTGCTTTGTCATTACGATATTTAACAGGTATTTTTCCCTCTAAATACACTGAATGATTGAGAAACAATAACTGTTTCGGAGTCGAAACTCGTAAATTCATATTTTGCAAGTTGTTCTCCGGGTTTTCCATGGATTACCATCGTTTTTATGTACTCATAATTATAATTACTAGTAATTGAGGTTAAGTCTCCGACATCAAATAAGTATTCAGGAGTGGAGTGAATCGGGATCAGTCATTTTGACCTGGCAGTTAGTTTTTGAAGAATATCTCGGGATTGGAGGGCGATACGGGAATTTCTACGAGGACCTCTTATGTAGGGGACACTGAGAGCAGCAAAAAAGATCCTGACAAAAATTCTGCTATCACTCTTAGATTCGGAGATTTTTTTACAAAAAATGATGTATCGTTTCAAGAAGTCTAATGGAGACTAAGAAATTTCTTGAAGGGATTTACAATTTTCATGTTTCCCTGAAAAATAGTTCTTATAAAAATTCGGTATCACCCTCCGATTCAGAGAGATTAATATTATTTAAGATTGGTTAATTAATTAATTAAAGAGGTCATGACAAAAATTTTGCTATCACTCTTAGATTCTGAGATTTTTTACAACACATGATTTCTGTAACGAAGTGGTAGACTAGGATAAGTGCAAAAATAAATTTCTTGAAGGACTTTCTTTGCAACTTTCATTTTTGTCTGGAAAATGGTTTTTATGAAAATTCGGTATCCCCCTTCGATTCAGAGAGGTCAATATTATTTAAGATTGGTTAATTAATTATAAATTAGTTTCTCTCAAACATCTCCGAATCTAATGGAGATAGCAGAATTTTCAGAAGGACGTTTTTGATAGAGAAAACTCAGGGCTACAGAAAAGGTTCTAACAAAAAATCCGCTATCACACACAGACGCGGAGATTTTTACCGAAAAATGTTTTATATGATTTCAAGAACTTGTTATTTAGAAATCTGTTTTCATTGAATGTTTTTACTGATATCTCTGAATCTCGAGTGGATAGTAAAATTCTATAAAAACCTCATTTGTAGCTGTCATTTTCCCTTAAAAAATACTCCTCAGACAAATTATTTCCCTTTAATTCGTGAACCTTAAAAAGCTGAGTTTCATCGTTTCAAAATATTGTTAATTAATTATGAATCAAATTCCCCAAATATTTTTTAATCTTGAGCACCTTATCCGTATTTTCCATTTTTCTCTGGAAAAAGTTCTCCCTTAGATTCCTCTTGGATTCGAAAATGTTCAATATGAATAGTTTCTCTCAAATATGTCTGACCCCAATTGCGATAGCAAAATCTCCTAAACCAATTTTTTACAAAAAAAATCGAAACTGCACGAAAATGTCTTATACGAATCTCCGAAGGTCTGAGTAAATTTTTTCCTCTTTTTTCAATTCCTAGACATTCAACGAAAACGATTGCATGTTTTAAAATGTCTTGTTAGTGAGTAATGATTACATTTCAGTCGACTATCTTCGAAAGCAATATTTAAATTGATTTATTCCCTTTTGCCATTTCCCCTCCGCATTCTATTCAGAGTCGAACAATTTTCCACTTAAATTTCAGTTCCGTAATCAATACGACAGCGACGTGACGGTATGGAGTCCCCAGGGTCGTCTCCATCAGGTGGAGTACGCCATGGAGGCCGTGAAACTCGGTTCAGCAACTGTTGGCCTGAAGAATAAAACTCACGCAGTTCTCATTGCCCTCAAGAGAGCATCGTCAGAGCTCTCTGCTTACCAGAAAAAGATCATTCCCATCGATAAACACATGGGAATCAGTATCGCTGGACTCACTGCTGACGCCAGGATGCTCAGCAGGTATATGAGGACAGAGTGCTTGAATTACAAGTACTCCCACGATGATGTGCTTCCAGTCAATCGGCTCATTGCTACTCTGGGGAATAAGATGCAGACATGCACGCAGAGATACGACAGACGTCCTTATGGTGTTGGATTACTCGTTGCTGGTTTTGACGTGAGGAAATAATTCATTACACTGAGAAGACAAGAGTTTTTTCTTCCGAATGGAAGCATTGTATTCGTCAAATCTGAAATTTCTAGTTTTTTTTGTGACGATTAATTTTGGTCTCAGGTGTTCGAATAGGCAATTTTTAGATCATGCCCGTTTGCATGTATGTACGTATGTGAGCTTTTTTTTCAAATTTAGTTTTCCGACGATCATTAAAAAAATCGAAATCTCTTCAATTATGGCTTAAAATATTTGTTGAGATTTATCTCGGTGGAATTCGACGATAATGGGGAGCGCATCATTTGCTTTGAAATATATAAATCCCGACTAAATCATAATTAAACCTCGATTAAATGCTAATCGAGGTTTAATCATGGTTTAGTCGGGATTTAATCGGATTTTAGCCAGGATTTAGTCAGAGTTTAGTATACTGGTTTAAGTCCAGTTTAAGGAAAACTAGTTAGGAGAAAAATCAAATTTAAATAATTTACTTACGACCGAGGAGACGTCAATATTGATGTATCAGAAGCATGATCTCGGGTAATATCAAATTTGACGTTCATTTTGTCACTCAATCTGTCTAATTTAAAATAAATTCAGTTCACTAAAAAATTTTATATCAAACTGTCTTTTAAAAAAACTATTGAAGTTTCGTGAGGTTAAACTTCAAGAAGAATCCCTACTAATCTGAAATTAATGACAGAAAACCGAATATGCACTTTTTTAAAAATTCGATTAATCCATTCGGAAGCAAATTGGTAATTTTTAGCAAAAAAAACTATACTTGATTTAGATCTGTCCAATGGGCCACTTGTTTCAGAAGTATGTCTTGTATTTCACACTAAGAATAACAAATCTTACGCCTAGAAATTTTATACTTGTTCGAAAGATGAGGACAAATGGTTCATCAACAAAACGAGTTCTCAAATCAATTCAAGTGGTTTTTGCATTAAAATACTTTAGAATTCAAGCAAAAAAAACTATTAAATGATTTAAATCAATTTTACCTGGTATGAGAAATCGCTTTTTTGTCATCAAGAAATTGTCCTCGTCTTTAGGACGAGTACAAAATTTCTTGGCGAAAGTTTTTTTTTTATTTCTTAGTGCAAGGTATTTTGCTCTTGAAAATTCTCAAGCCACGAGTTTCTTCATATAAGTAAAGATGTACTTTTCAAAAAATATTATTTTTCTCAGTGTATGTTGCAGTCCAAATTAGGTTTTATCAGAAATGTTGGTTTCATATGTTCTACAAAATTAGAGAATTTTCAACGAATATGAAAACAATCTACTTTTGGAACATAAAAATTCTCAATAGAAATGTTGAAATTGATTTTTCATCACGCTGTACGAAAAAGTAACTTTTTAGGCACGTTTCGCGTGCCTTTTAAAACGTCCCTTTTCCACACATTTTGATGAAAAATATCGTTCGATACTCGTGGGAAAAGTGTTTTTTGACTCGTGGGAGGTTTATAGCACGAGCCGAAGGCGAGAAAAGGCGAAAAAAATCTTTTCCGCACTCGTAATGAAATATACTATATTACAACTCTCCATTTCTATATCTAATTATTGAATGGAGATTGAAATCCCCGTTAATTTCTTTCAGGATCAAGGACCACACATTTACCAAACCTGTCCCTCAGCGAATTACTTCGACTGCAAAGCAATGGCGATTGGAGCAAGATCGCAAGGAGCCAGGACGTACCTAGAGAAACATTTGAATGAGTTCTCTGGAAGTTCTCTCGAGGATCTCGTTAAACATGGTCTGAGAGCACTCAGGGACACCCTCCCCAATGAACTCGATCTCTCTGTTAAAGTGCGTATTCTCCCTCAGTTCTCAAGGAGTTTCACAAGCTGTTAAAATTTTCACAAGCTGTTAAAATTTTTCATGAAAGATATCTGTGGCCGTAATCCCAAAATTACATGTTTTCTTCCTCGTTTTCAGAACGTCTCGATTGGCATCGTCGGTAAGGATCAGGAGTTCGAGATTCTAGGGGAGACAGAAACTGCCACATACTTAACAGCTATTGAGGGCGATGAGAAGAGAGGTAGACCAGCAAGCGGACAGGACCTGCAGCAGGACGATCAGCCACCTCAGGATCCACCAGCTGATGAGGGGCCTGCAGATCCACGAGTCTCTGTTGCCATGGACACTGAATAAAACTTCAATTTTCACTGATTCATACTATTACCCAAATTTTTCAGGTTTAATAAAGTTTCTTTTCACTCATAACTCCGTCAAATTCTCTGCAATTATTGCCTATGGAAATCTCCTTTGATTTCAATTAGATGAAATCATTGAGGAATCTAAGGATTAACAGACATTAGATACATTTGAGGTATTCCATGCCAAATGAGTCAATGGCTAACCCTCACCCTTTTGGAAATTGATCTCGATTTTTTCTTTGTTTTTTTCGTTTTCTTTTCAATAACTCGGGTTCTATTCAAACGATTTTAATTTATGATAGCTCAAAATTTTCCATTTTCGACCAACTATAAGAAAATTTTGGGTAATTTTTTTTTCAATCTCTAGGTGTTCATAATATCGATTTTTCAACAAAAAAATTGAAAAACTCGAATTTTCAAAATTATGTGGCCTTTTATTTTTTTCATTTTTTCTTTAGTGACTCTTATAATCAAAACAAACATTGTGAGTCGTCATACAAGTTGGGTTTCGTCCTGAAGCTATTTTATTTTTATTTTGTTTTTCTCAAAATTCTGGGAATTTGGTCAAAACACCTCAAACGACTTCGATTATGTGTCAAAAAAAAATATAACATATAAGTATACATTCAAATTCACTTCATACTGTTTATAATCAAAGTCAATCGACGCCATTTTGGGATATTTTAACTAAATTCGTGGAATTTCGAGAAGAAAAAATTGAAAATAAAATTGATCCAGGATGAAATCCAACTTGTATGACAGTTCAAAATAGTTGTTTTGATTACAAGAGTTACTGAAAAAAAGACGATAAAAATAAAACGTGACAGAATTTTGAAAATTCAAATTTTTTTTTTGAAAATTCGGTATTACGAGCACCAAGGGGTTGAAAAAAAAATTACTCAAAATGTTCCTATAGATGGTAGAAAATCGAAAATTTTGACGTGTCATAAATCAAAATCGGATGAGTAGAACTGGAGTTATTGAAAAAAAAACAAAGAAAAATTCATATTTCCGAAATGGATTGTTAAAAAAATCTGAAAAAAATTGAGAGATAGTGTTTCTAGCCCCCCAACGTAAAAAAATCGAGATCAATTTCCAAAAGGGTGAGAGTCAACCTCACCCTTTGACGTGGAATACCTCATTTATTTCCCTATTGGATTTATTTTCCAATATTATCCAGTGAAGTGTTCGTACATTTGTACGTTAATAATGTGAATGATCTTTTCTCAAATTACCAGTCAATTGACATCTTGTGACGTCACAGGATATTGTTGGCTAGCATTTTGGAGTAGGTAGGAGGGGAACCAGGATAATTCTCAATATTAGTTTGCAAGACAAATTTACTAAAAATCTTGAATCTTGTTAATCGTTTGCTAGAAAAATCTCCAACCATCGAAACGAGATGAAATGATGAGAAATTCTTCAATTTAAGAAACTACGAGTTTCTAACAGTTTCAAATGATTGTGTACTCTTGATAATTATAGTTATCCAGCTCTGGGTATCATGCTCAGCCCTCTCACGTCTTCCTTTCTATAAAAATTTTCGTCAGAAATAACGATCAACACGTTCTTTAATTTTTTGGACATGGTATTTATGAATGATTTTTCTTCGAAACCGAATGTCAAGGCAGTTTCGGTTGAAAGAATTTTCTACGGAAAGAACTTTGAAAATACTTCTTCATATTCTTAATCACTGAAATAATGAGTGATTAATAAAAAGAATTATGCATAATAAAATCATTAGTTAATTTAATTTTGATTCAATTATCTTCCATTTCTCTAACAATTGAAATTGAGAACAAATAATTGAACTATTCACGAATTAAAAAGATTTCAACAACTTTTCATTGCTTAAAAACAATTTTGTACTTGATTGACTAAAAATTGCGACTATTCAGCTCTGGGGATTCTCCTCGGCCCTCTTACTCCTTCTCTCCTTGAGAATATTCGTGAGGAAAAATTCTCCAGCTTTGTAGGAGGATCGAACGAGGGGTCCACTCGCAGTGTACAAAAACCCAAGTTTACCACCGTATTCCTCCCAGGCCTTGAATTTCTCTGGTGTCACGTACTCTATCACCTTCAGATGCCTCTTCGTGGGCTGCATGTACTGACCAAGCGTCAGGGCATCGACCCCAGCCTCCCTCAACTCCCTCATCGTCGTCTCCACCTCCTCGTCAGTCTCTCCGAGCCCTAGCATTATCGAGGATTTTGTGATTAACTCTGGATTCACATTCTTCGCACCTTCCAGGACTTTTAACGACTGTCTGAAAGTCAGGAGCACAATTTTGTAATTATTATGGTGCAAATATCTACAAAACTACTGAGTTCAGCGGAAAATAATAAAAGACCACTCCATCCATCATTCACTCTAGATTTCTTTACTTCAAAGTTATGAATTATTTTACTGTTATTTTTTATTTAATTTTTTTATTTTATTTAAAAGTACACGGTTTTTTTTCCTCGGGCTATTTTCCATTGAAAAATTCCTGCAGACAAAATTTTCTAGTGATAAATCCCCTTTGAAAATCTCTCTGAAGGCTCAATGAAAGACAATTTCTCCAATTTTCATTGAAAAGCATCATATTTATTTATTTTTCCTCAGAAAATCGATTGCATTGAAAGCACAATATGTTGTTTTTTTAATTATCAACGTTAAACAAGTTTTAGGTGATGCACAAGAATCAATTTATTTATTTTTTAATATTGACTGAGAACACGGAACTACATTCTTTCTGAATTATTGATAAATCCCCTTGAGTTGAGAGAGAAAATTCTCTCCTAACTCAATTGAAGATGCCAATTTGTTCAATTTTCAATTAAAAGCAGCATGTTTACTTTGTCCATATTAATTATAACCATATTCACCTATAGCGTGCTCGTCTATCTCTGACGAAAGGTGTGAGTCTCTCCACTGTCTCGATGTTGTGGGCAAACACATCTAGCTTTGATTCAACAATTGTTTTTATGCAATCCTCTTTACCACTGAAGTCTGGTACAAGGGCTTCGACCAAAATACTACTCCTGGAATATAAACAAGAGTCAAATTAATGATTCATTTTTTTTTGTCGTTGATTCGTAACTTGGTAGCGCATATGAAAATGGAATCCCAGTGGGTTTTAGCACGGTTTGGGTGTGTGGGCTATTTTTTCCTGGTCTATTTTTTCCGCCTATCATGGAAATGAATCAATACGTAGAAGCCAAAAACAAACAAGGAAACAAAATGGAAACTAAATAAAAGTACTGAGAATAACAACGTAAGATAGAGCGATAAATGATATACGACAGAAAAAAATTATGTGCAAAATGAACATTCGGTAGCATAGAGGAGAGTGGGGTAAAATGAAACAGCCGAAAACGACTATTTGACGCAATTCAAGCAAAACAGAAAATTTTGTTTAGTAACTTTTGTTTATTAACTTTTTTTATTATTGGGAGTACTGATGAGAATTATAATTTTCTGTTCGTTTTATAATTCCATCAATTGTAATTCAATTGATTGGACTAGAGCGATTACACTCTTCTTTTTTCACTCGATTGAAATTCAGTATCACATTTTCCTTTTTGCCCCTCTGGGTGACTCCCTGGGCCTTGCTCTGGACTTTGGATTATGCTGTTTCATTTTCTTTTCAATTAATCCACTGACAAAATCTTCGCCCGTCAAAACTCCCAAAAATAAAAAAAAGTTGATGAAAAAAAAATTGAATAAAAAAATTTTTTTTGCTTAAATTGTGTCAAACTAAAATCAAAGGGTTGACTCACTGAGCGTGGAATACCTCATATAATCGCACTTTGCTACATCGTTACTGAATTTGGCAATAATAGTTGAGCTTTCAGGATATTTTACCTTCTCTTTAATTCTCTTATAGTCTCTGCAATGTGATGTGCTCCTCCATCAGGTAAATCTGTGAATTACGAATGGATGATCAAAAAATCACAAATAAGAACATTTCATTTCATGCAAAATGATGTGAAAATAATTAACATTCATATCATGAATATCAATAGATTGTCCAATAATAATAATGAAAACAATAATTAATTACCATCTCGGTCAACTGACGTTAGAACCACGTAATCGAGTCCCCAAGCAGTCACAGCAGTCGCTGTATTTTCAGGTTCCTTAGGATCTAGGGGTGGTGGGGCCCTAGCTGTCTTGATGGAGCAGAATCTGCAGCCCCTAGTGCACGTGTCCCCCATCAACTACAACGAATCACCACAAGCTCATCAATAGTCCCATCAAAAACAGATTCAAGACGTCATTAATTCTCTAATTGAATTACCATAATGGTTGCTGTGGCAGTTCCATGAGTCCCACCTCCCCAGCACTCTCCAATGTTGGGACACCTCGCCTCCTCACACACTGTAGCCAATTTCAATTCTCTCAATTGTGATTTTATCCTTGAGTAGTTCTCCCCCATGGGGATCTCTGTTTTCAACCATGGTGGCAATCTCAGCCTCGTGTTCTCCCCCTTTTCAAGCTTCAGCTTCCCTTCGTATTTTGAGGCTGCTCCTGATAAAAAATCATCCAGCTGTGGTCCATCGTTCAGCTTCTTCGAGAAAGAAATATCGTCTGTTGTCTTCGAGTATTGCTTCACCTTGAAATTCATATGGATAATTATTTAGAATATTCACAGTAATTAACAAGTATGATGAACGCGTTTTCAAGTATCCATATGAGGTATTCCATGCCAAATGAGTCAAAGGCCGCCCTCACCCTCTTGAAAATTGATGGCGATTTTTTCTACGATTGGGGGGCTTGAAAAACGATGTTTCAAATTTTTTAAGATTTTTTTGATAGCCCAATTCGGAGATATTTTTTTTCAAATTGTTCGTTTTTTTTACAATAAGTCGAGTTCTACTCATCCGATTTCGATTTATTAGGGATCAAAATTTTCCATTTTTCACCACCTATAAGAATGTTTTTTGTCCAAATTTTTTCCAATCTCTAGATGTTCGAAATAACGAATTTTCGAAAAAAAGTTGAAAAACTTGAATTTGGCTAATTACCTCACGGTTGATTATTTTAATTTTTTTTTCAGTAATTCCTATAATCAAAACAAAAATTTTGAGCTGTCATACATGTTGGGTGTCATCTTAGATCTACTTTATTTTTAATTTTTTATTCTCAAAATTCCGCGAATTCGGTCAAAAAACCGAATGAATCGAGAATATATTTTAAATATTTTACGGATGGTTTTTCTGCCTATTTTACATGAATGGCGCAAATTTTCACATTAAACAAAACGAAATTAGCTGTGTAGGAGTCGAATTTCAAAAAAATAATTTGTTATTGTTATTGTACACATTTTTTCAAAAAATTTGAAAAAAAAAATCTCTGCAGCTCAAAAAATGGAGGCCCTGGACTATTTTTAGCATTTTTAGTGTCTGCGGGACAAATGAATAATAAACAACTGATTTTTTTGCACTAATTATTCGTTTTTTAACATATATAATCGATCTTCAATGCATGAGAAATCCCTTTAATTCAAAATATTAATTTTTTGTAATTTACCAGATTTTCTCCATTTCGATTACAATTTCAATACATTCAGCCTCATTAATTATTGACAAATAAAATTCAGTAGCGAAGCGGTAAAACGGTTTAAGTCGACTTAGCTCTCAGCTGAGTTTTTGAGGAATATCTCGGAATCTAAGGAAGATCACGAAATTTTCATAATAACTTTGTTGTAGAGCGAATTGATTTCTGCAAAAAAGGTAATAACAAGGTTATGCGTATTAGATCAGGAGAAGATGATTTTCTTAGTTTTTTTTCTGTTTCCTCTTCTTAGCAAATCATAAAATTAGTTGTTTTTTGTTATTCCACGTTGTAATGATACGTAATCGGAATCTTATGACAAAAAAAAAATGGGCGGTTGCAAAATTTTAGGATTTGCTAAGACGAAAAAAAACAAAAACAAAAATCTTTTTCTCACGATCTAATACATATAAAGTAAAACAAATACTTGAGTTTGTTCGTTGAAACATAATGAACATTTTGAAAAAAAAAAAAGTTAAAATCGGATGAAAACTGTGGAAGGAGCATTTTTAAACTAAAAACGTGGAAAATGACGTTTTTGGTGGATGTACTTTTCAAAATGTCTCTTCATATAGCAAAAGTCGTCCAATGGTTCTTAAGGCCGAACGAGGACTTTTAAATTTCACCGCGGTCTCCCCTTAAATATTTCAATTGCAAAAACACGAGGTAAAAATGTGGAATTTTTCAGTTGAAAGTATTCAAACCGTGTAAGTTATCCCCCGCAAGGTCAAATGGCTGGAATTTCGATGCAAAGAATAATCAATAGAACCGGTGAAAAACCAATAGAAATGCTCAGAGAATGCATTACGTTTTTCAATTAAATTACCTCTTACGCGCAATAAAAAATCAAGTAATGATTCAAAGACAATATACTACGCAAATATCTCTGAAAGATCTGTAAAAATTCATCCTAAAAAATTGGTCACAGATCATTTCACGGGTTAAAAAAAATTTCATAATTATTCTCTCAACTTTCCAGTTTCCCAGTTATCTAGAAAACAAAATTGAAATGAAACAGTTTAATGTCCTCCCTCACTAGCAAAAAATTTTCGATGATAAACTGAAAATAACTCACCGAAGACGTCACGCCAAAATTGGCACTAGTCCTGAGATTCTTGGCTGATAAAGATCGAAACATCCTGAAGAATATTCCTGAAATTCTTTGGAACCCTTGCAATTCCTTCCAACTTCGATGTCAATCAAAACCACGAGGAAAACACTAGCAAGACTTTAATTGCGCTTGTTTGCAACGAGTTGGAACTATTTTATCAACTTGTCATGCACTTTTAACTCATGCACCGCAAATGCCTCGTCGTCCTCTCCCCAACTTTCGTCGCACTAATCAAAAACATGACGAAATGCTTGATAGATAAATAGAGGAGAGCTATGGATCACCGAAATGAGGAGCGAAGAGCGACGGAGGACGGCCATCACACTGATCAGCTGATAGGGGAGGGTGGGTTAAAACGGACACTTTAGACTTTAAAAATTATTCATAACTCAGAAACAAATTAATCAATTGAGCTCAGTTTAGGCTCGTCACAAAGGGAAAAAATTCTTTTTTGTATTGAAAAAAAAATATTAAATGTTATCAACTTTTCAACCCCTCATTAGCATTTAAAAAAAAGTCAAAAGTGTCCGTTTTACCCCAACCTCCCCTGCTGTTATCTTATCGGCCTTCACAAAGGTCACGTTCTATTTTGCCATCGGTACATAGAGAAGCGAGAGTAATCATCGAATGAAAATTCGAAGGCAAATATTTAGTCTTATGGCGGAGCTCTGAGAGATTGCTATTTGTTACAACCCTATTTTTTTAAGCATGGAGGAAGTTGACAATATTATTATTCACTCGCTGCGGCAAATCGGCTGGTAAGAGACCCTAAACACCACCTTATTCATCCTCGACCAATTTTTTGTCTGGAAACATTAATGCACTTAACCTGTCACCGGTTTCTGGAGCTGCAGGAGCTCCAGTGGGTGTAGCTGCTTGAAAAAAATAGAGAAATATCAACAAATTGCATTTAACATGAACTTTATTCCTTGTTCCGTTAGGGAGGTGGTCAAACTATTTAGATAAAATTTAGTCAGTCTTCGATAAATATTTTGAAATCTGAAGAAAATAACACAATTTTTTGAAGAACTTTGAAGAAAAATGACAACTGCAAAAAGAACTTGAACGAGAATTCCTCTAATTCTAATCGTTACACGAAATGAAATTTTTTACATGAAATACATCAGGGTAAACAGGTCAATTTCCGGACGGGGATTGGTTTCTGGACGATTTCAACTTCCATTGAATATTCCATAAATGATCAAATGAAAATTGTTCTGATTATTTCACTTTTCAATAATATTGCTCGTGTATAATCATGTGCTCAATTTTTTTCTATTAATCGACATTTAATAAATAAAAAATACAAAACTATAGCCCAGTCGTCCAGAAATTAGAGGCTTCGGTTGCATTCAACTATTCCTTAATTTCATTATTCTTTATATTGTTATTTTCACTTAAAATAATTTTTTCCTGCTAATTAAAACATTCTTGAAGATATGAAAGCCATCATGTCCCCATTTAGCGGATTTTTTATTTTAGATCCTATCACGAAACTCGAATTTCCCTTAACCGTCCAGCAATTGGTTTGTTCATCGGAATAAATACCTAACAATAATCTACGGATCAATTTTGATCGAAAGTTCATCGAAAGTAGTGTTCATCATTCCGGAGTAAAGTGGCTGAACAATTCATTTTTTCAAGCACGTGATGATTTCAATCCACCAACTCGAGTTAATTATTATAAATTTTCGGAAAATGGATAAACACCTTCAATCAACAATGTTTTCTATTGTTCCAGTGATATCGATGAGAACGTTACGAATTTGGGGGGTTTCGACACCGATCTAGTGGTGGAGGCAACTGTGAGATGTCTGGATGTCATCAAACCTGGCCTCGGCACCTCCAGGGTTCTTCCAGCAAATATGGCTGCGAGGTTTAGGGTTGGGGCTTCCCTAGCCCAAGCATGCTCGGTGAGTGCATGAATATCCTAACATTTCATTCATTTAGATCTGTCAATGCCTCAAATCAGTATTCTTTAATTATCAAGTTCTTAAAAAGATCGAAGAACATTTTGATGATGTGACACGATACCCCCTCTATTTATTTGGCCTGAAAATCGAAATGACTGGTAATTTTTCCTTAATTATTGTCATCGTATGGATGATTATGGATGATTATGGAATGAAATAAGTAAAAGACCCGAAATTAAGCGGAAGATTGGTCTGGGTTAAGATGAATCCATTTCTCTCCTCAACAACACAAAATTGTCAATATGTGAAAGCAACAGCTCTTTGCTTTTAACCCACGAGTCACGTCGAGGACGTGGCGGTGCGTCGGCTCTCAACGAGAAGAATCTAAACAATACCAACAACCCTAAGACACCGCCATGAACATTTCCTCTACTGTTTTTCCACCAGCAAAATATCACACATTAATTGTGTCTAAAATAGCTGTGAAATCTCTGAGGATATATACTCACATAACTATTCCACTTACAGATGTTGTAATCAATCAATTAAAATTCATATATAAGATGACAGATCCTTGATTGTTATTATTATTGGTATTATTATAAGATGACAGAATTAATCAATTCTGCATCTATCGATTTTATCATCAGGAAGATGTTAAATAATTTGAGTCCTGAAGCAAAGCCAAATCTCCACACAAATGACAACTCGACACTCGTACCGTAGACACAATTCATCACAACACCAAAACACGATTGAATAAAATCTGACCTGTGTGTATAAACCACAATAAATCCCCCCACCCCCAGCACATTCTTGAGGCACTAAGCCTCTGTGTTGGAATGCGACTTTTTTAGAATTTATACACTGAGAAGAAAAAAAAAATTTTTGTCAAATATTGATTTACTCGAGAGAAGCATTCATTTTTTCAAAATCGTATTTCTCCAATCGAGTCATTCCCAGGGGAGCTTGACTAGGTTTCAATTGCAAAAATCATGTTGCTCTAGAGGATGACTATGTTGCACATGACCTTGGACGAACTCTAATGATTATCAGGGATAGCCAAATTCATGATATTTAATTACCGTTAAATATTGTAACCATCAATTAGTGAACATCACTCTTAAATTTTTTGAGTACTTAGGAGAGGTTCGGGTAAAACGGACACTTTTGACTTTTTTTAAAATGTTAATAAGGGGTTGAAATATTTATAAAATTTGATAATTTTTTTTTCCGTACAAAGAACAATTCTTTCCCTTTGTGACGAGCCTAAACTGAGCTCAATTGATCAATTTGTTTCTGAGTTATGAATAATTTTAAAAAAGTCTAAAGTGTCCGTTTTACCCCACCCAACCCTAAATATCATCAGTTCAAATATTCAAATTTTCAACTATTTTATCAATCAATAATTGAGGTAGGAAGATTGGCAATTATTCGTCTAATCGAAAATCCCCCTTTTAAGAACTTAGAATTATTCACTTAGTGGTAAACTTACAGTTCCATATTAACAAATTGTAATTCATCATTATTCAAAAAAAATCAGATTATTAATATTATACTATTTGAAAATTTTGATCAGCATATTTTAAACCTTCATTAATGTAAGGGGTAAATCCTTGTAATATTACAGAAATTTAATATTGATGGCGATCCCTGATGATTATTCATTTTTCCTAAATTTCTTATTTTCTAGAGGGAAGAATTTCGATCAATTTTTTAATGTTGATAATTATTGAAGGAGTTCACTCAAGGTCATAACTAACATGATCATCCTCTAGAGCAATATAATTGACATAATTTAAACCTAATGAGGATTACCTGAGAATGGCTAGAAGCCAGAAATACGCTACTGAAAAAATAAATACTTCTCTCAAGTAAGTGGATATTCGCCAAAAATAATTTTTTTCTCGGTGTATTACTGTTTGTACTGATAAACCATGGGGTTTGATGTATAAATTACTGCAATTAGTTTGGAGTCATGTATTGCGACACTTCGCCAACATTTTTTCCTGAAAATTTTCTGAGGTACAAAAACGGTTGTCGCTCATGTTCATCGTCCAAATGAACTAAATTCCATTGCTCTTCAAAACCCACAACTGAACCACCAATTTTTCCTCCAGGAACTTGGTTACAGAGGGGACATAGGCTACCAGACGTTCCTCTACAGTTCCGAAACCGACTTGAGACGTGTCCTGATGTTCCTAACCGAGAAGCTCCCGAAGGAAACCGACAAAGCATCAACAGAGCCCACGAGTAAGCTCGACAAGCTCGAGAAGACTGTGGCCTCGGTCCTGCAAAAGCAGCTGTCAACCCCCTGGTTACCCCACTACTGCCACAGATCGCGAACCGATGGACACACCAGCATGCCTTACAGAGCAGTTGACCTCGACCTCCCCCCCGATAATCCAGACCCAGAGTACCAGGATTATCATGGTACATATCAGCCATCAGTGCCTGAGCTGGTGGACCAAGAGTGCCTCATACCCTCGATAGTATCAAGAACCTCGAAGTTACTTTACTCACGACCAACGAACATAATAGAACGACTAGAATGGCTGCACAAGTTCCCTGCGACCACTGAATCCACCAGTGAAGAGAGAATTTCGAGCAGATTCACTTTGAACGAGAGACTGCAGCTGCAGACGTCTAGGCGACGCGACGAGCCTGAAGAGGTGGAGAGGAGTCCAGAGTCAGCTTCGACGCCATCGGAGCCCTCAGCCCCTTCCAGAGAGGAGAGACAGATGCGGGAGGTCGAGGGGATGAAGGCAGACTGCGAGAGCTTGAGAGTTGAGGTCGAAGCAATGACTAATGAATTGGGGAAACTCGACACTCAGTTGTCCCAGGTGAGAACCAAGAGGCAGGAGGAGGAGAGGGAGCTGGAGGTGAGGGAGGAGCAGAGGAGAATCAAGGCGAGGACTTATGATCTCCTTGAGGATGGTGATAATAATGTTGTAAAGCTGGAGGGGGTCATCGAGGCTGGGAGAAACAAGTTGATTCATCTGGCTAATCAGTGGGAGAAGCACAGGGCCCCTCTCATCAAACAGTACAGGGACGAGAGGGAAAAATACTCAGCCAAGACCAGTACTAGTCAGAAGAAGCTGGATGAGCTGAGGATCCTCAGGGAGAGGGAGAGGGAACTTATGGAGGAGTGTCATATGAAGGATCAGCAGTATGCACAGCTGGTGGCTGAGGTGCAGAAGCTACCGAAGGACGTCAACAGGTCTGCCTACACTCAGAGGATACTGGAGATCATTAATAATGTGAGGAAGCAGAGGGATGAGATCGATAAGGTACTGGGGGACACGAGGGAGATCCAGAAGGAGATCAATACTCTGAGTGGCAGGCTGGAGAGGTCTTTCACGGTTGTTGATGAGCTCATCTTCAGGGATGCCAAGGGCAATGAGGCCTCCAGGAGGGCGTACAAGCTCCTCGCTACTTTACACTCTGATTGCAGTGAACTCGTTAATCTTGTGGAAGAGACTGGGACTACCTTGAGGGAGATCAGGGATTTAGAGGAACAGGTAAATATTGGTTTTTAATATTTGTATGGAATTCTTTTTCTAGATTCGATTTTCATGTAAAAAAAGTCGGTGAAGTTTCTTCAACTCAAATTTCATTTCTGATTAGATTTTTTAATATGAAAAAATTTGTAAAAATTCCGAAAATACTATTTGTAGGGAGGATTTTTTATGAATGATTGAAAAAAATATCGTCATCTTCAAAAATTGCATTTTATAATTGATTTATGAATTTGCTCTAAAGAGTGGACTTTCGAAGTTTTTTTATATTTTTAAAATATTTCCTAGAGGTTCAAAATGACAGGTTGAATTCAGATCTTCCAAGATTGAATAATAAAATCTGTCAGAAAATATTTTCAATGCTAAACCTCATTTTAAGCTATAAAATCTGTTGCGTATTGGTAAACTAGGATGAGTGCATTTTTTTCAAAACAAAATTTTTTCGCCAAATCGCTTCCACAAATTTTTGGGAAGGGATTTCACAAAAAAAATGCATTTAGCCTAGTTTACTAATTCACCGGAGAAATTGAAACGGATTGAATTAAAACAATAGTGATCGTACTTGGTATAATGAAATTGTCTTGATTTGTCCTCATGATTTATTTCTATTGTTTTGCTGTACTTCAGATTGATTCGGAATCTACGAAGAATGTTGGAGCCAATTTGGAGCGAATAACAGCTGATTTGAAGCAAATGAGACAAGAGACTGCGTCACTAACGGCACAACTAGCGAGTAAAAACTCGTGATTTATAGATTATTTACAGATGACACGCTTTGTTTCGAAGGTTTGTGAAATAATAATAGTGCTTCAGTGCATTTTCTTCACCAATTGAACATTTGATAGCTTTAAAATGGAGATTATTACACTTGACCTGAACATTCCCATATCCAGAATTACTGAGTAATGAATTGTAAAGAAAATTCAGGGCATAATAATAAGACCAAAATGAATAATTTCGCTCAAGAGGACCTAGATTCCCTAAGAAGTTCGAATAATAATCTTATGAGTTGTGACAACTCACTGTACCATGTTGAAATAGTTCAAGGAACCTTGCTGTTACTAAAATTATCGAATCAAATTGAGATTTAATACTGTAAATAAACATTAATATTCGAGGAGAATTTATTAAATTTTTCTTTGAAAAATGGAGATATCTACATAAAACGTACTGATTGAATGAATTAAATACGATTCTTGGTGGATTGCTGCCCAACTTCTGGGGGTATGTAGTTGTCTTCGGTGTCCTCCTTGACCTCGATTGGTGGCCCGTACATCTCATCTTCTATTTTGAGTTTCTCCTCAATCTGGAGCTCGAGCTTCTCTTCGTTCTCGAAGAACGTCAGGAGTCTTTCTCGCACTTGCAGGTCTTTCTTCATCGCCTCAACGTCCTTGAGTCTCTGCTGTCTGTCGATTTCTGCCAGTTGTTTTTGAAGGAGATCCATTCGGATTTTTTCCCACTCTTCATAAAGCTGCAGGGATCAATTTGATGAGATTATAAATTTTAAATCCATTGTAAGGGGGTGAAGGAGATAATTCAATTCCTAGACGTCTTAAATCCGACTGGTGATTTTAACTGATAACTTTTTGAGGATATTTAATAATTGATAATCTAAATTTCCAATTAAATATTTTAAATTAAATATTTAATAATATGGAATTGTAAATTTTTTATCAATCCAATAATGCTAAATTTCATATAAGGGATTTCCGATTATCCAAATGATCGTCAATCTTCCTAACTAAATTACTGATTAATAAATAATTCGGAATTTGAATATTTAAATTGATGATTACTTCAGTAATTATAATTTATGGATATGGTTGTCTCTGGTCGTGGGCAGTTGCGATGGGGTTTTTCTACTCCACACGAGTAAGAAATCCCATCGCACCAGCCCGAAAAAATACTATTTCTATCCTAGATAGCCATATTCATAAATCATAATTACCGTTAAATTTTGAAGCCGTCAATTAGTTGACATCACTCTTCAACTTTTAATTATTGAAGTCATTATCAATTTAAATATTCAAATTTTAACTATTTTATTAATCAATAATTTAGGTAGGAAGATAGCCGATTATTTAATTAATCGATAATCCCTTTCAAGAAATTGGAAATATTCACTTAGCGACCGGGTGTACTATTTTTCAAATGTTATGTGGATTTTTTTTTATCTTGCGTAATCCAAAATTATTAATTGAGTGGTACATATCATGTAGAAATTCCCAAAAATTATAGTAGAATGATTTTTAAAAAATATAAAAAATTCTGAACTTTTTCAAAGAGCGTTTTAATTGAGATTCAGAATGAGTTGAAAAAAGTGGAAATTACAAATATCTGATTCGCTGTGGCAAATTATCTATTAGCTGTCATTTTCCATGGTGGATAACAAAACACTAACTCCCCATGGGAAGTGACAGCTAGGTATCTCAATTTCCAAAACAGTGGTATGTAGTCATCTGCCATTTTTATGTGATAAAAGTGTGATTAAAAAATTCTCCAAAATATTACAACTTTTTTCTAAAGAGCCTTTTCCGTAATAAATGTCTCTGTGCAGTGTGGGAAAAGTTTTACGAAATCAGTCTTCCCCCTCTATGATATTGGGTGACAGGGCGCCATTTGTCACTGTAAATCAGATACATTTTTCAATTTCTAGTTATTCAACTTATTCTGAATATAAATTAAAAATGCTCTTCGAAAAAATGGAGAATTTCTTCTACTTTTTTTTTATTATTCACTCATATTTTTTCAAAACTTCTGCATGATGCAGGACTCAATTGACAATTTCAGATGACGAAAGATGAAAAAAAACATCGAGATAACGTTTGAAAGATAGTACACCCGGGCCTTAATGGAAAATTTACAGTTCTATATTATCAAATATTCAATTCATCATCAATCGGAAATGTAAACTATTAATATTATATAATTTTTTAATTTTGATGAGTATATTCAAAAATTTATCAATGTAAGTCACAAATCCTTTATTGAAGAAATATAATATTGATGGCCATTCCTGATTTCTACGAATGCTAAAACGTTCTTTCAATTTTATTGCAGAAAACTTGTTTGCATCTCTCGTGTTACTCAACAAGGAAGGTCCTCAGTGAATTTCCCTATCTTCCTCCGACTCAAAATTATGCAAAAACAATGAAAATAAACCTGAAAAAAAATTACCTTGCACTGCTCCTCGATATCCCCCTGCTCCCTCTCCACAACAGCCTTCTTGATCCTCTCCTCCATCTCTCCCTCCATACTCCCCTCCTTCAGCGTCATCCCCTGGAGTTTTCCCAGGACTTCCTTCACCTTCTCCACATCCTCGCCCGTCGTTTCCCCTTCAACTCCCTCCAGGTCCTTCGTCACGAGCTCCAGTGCCTCCTTATAAACTACGTCCTTTACATTTCCATCAACCCACCCCTGGCCCACCTCAGCAGCTCGCTCAAACTTCCCCCACAGGACGTATCCCCTCAGAACCAGGGACCTCCCCAGGGTATCATCCATGCTCTTCCCGAAGAAAACGAAGGTCTTACCAACTAGATGCTTCGGATCCGTCAGATCAAAATGATCATCGAAGTAAGGATTCCTCAGGTATCTCACCCTCACCTTCACCACCTCCTCCTTGGGGTCGACCGGAGGGGGTGGAGGCGGTGGTCCCCAGCCCTCGGTGTTCTCCAGGTACTTGTGACAGGAGTACACAGCAAGAGCATTGCAGATCGGGTGCTCCTGATCCTCTTGGAGCATCAGGAGAGTAGCGACCTTTGCTGCAGAGGCAAAATCCTTTCTCTTTATGAACGTATCCATCAACAAATTGTAGGAAAAATGATCCGGGAAGATTCCGTAGTTCAACCGGTCATTCAAAACTTCCAGCAACGTCTTCTCGTCCATCTCCAGGAAGTACCTTGTTGCGAACCAATATTTGTTATTGATAATTTTATCAACCAAACGGTACATTTCCGAGAAATTTTGAAATTTCGTAAGGGAGAGTGGGGCAAAATGAAACAGTGAGACAAAATGAAATACTCGAAAAACGACTGTTTGACGTAATTCAAGCAAAAAAAACTTTTTATCAACTTTTGTTCATTAACTTTTTTTTTATTCTTGGGAGTACTGATGAGAATAATAATTTTCCATTCAGTAGAATCATGAGACGGATACAAAATTATTATTCTCATCATTACTCCCAATAATAACAAAAGTTGATGAAAAAAATTTTTTTTTGCTTCAATTTTATTTTGACCCACTCTGCCCTAAATAGATTGACTCTTCAAGTTCGCAAGAGAGATGAGAATGAAAAAATAATCGTCGATGTCCACCCTCATAACCCGCATTTGATCGGGAAAAAATGACAGTAAGCCGCAAGCAAGTAATGATCAAATTGATTCTGATCATCAATTTCCATCTATCTAAATAACGCCCAGCTCTGGAGTCATCCCGCAATTTCTGTTTGTGAAAAATTGAGGATTCTGAAGATGAGTTTAGCAACCGAGAGGACAACTCTGACTTCGATTAGACGATTGATGACAGAACGACCTGATCTTCGGTCAGTGGGTTAATTTTTGTATAATTGACATTATATTTTGGACGAAAAGAAAATCATAAAAACAGAATTATATTGAGAAAATTTTGAACTCAAGTCAATCAAAGAAAAAACGCAAAAAAAACGGCCGAATGCGAGCGCTACCCTCCCGTGGGTCAAAGAACACTTTTCCCACTGAAGCGTACGTAAAAGGTAATTTTACACGCAAGTGAGGAAAATTAGACTTACTGCACAGAGTGATATAAGTTATCATAACAACTACCTATGTGGTCCGACTTCGCCCGGGCAGAATAAGAGAAAATTGAATACCAGATTTTTGAAAATTTTCGAAATTAAAGAAAACACTTGCATGTTTTTGACTTTTCTAAAATACCCGAAAAGTTTCTCAATTTCTTTGGAAAACCCTCAAATTTACTTGACTTCTTGAATGTTTTAGAAGAGGCGAAAACATTAAGGTTTTTCTTTTTATTGCAGGAATTCTCAAAAATCCTGGTATTCAAATGTTTCTTATTTTGCCCGGGCGAAGTCGAGCCACGCAGCTAGTTAATCAGAATTTGAAATTGAATTGCTCAATTGGACCAAACATTTTTTTTAGAAAACCCGACAATTCCTTCGAATTTTCTAGAAAACCCAAAATTTTACTAGAATTTTTCAGATTTTTCCAGAAATTTTTCCAGAAAATCTGAAAATTCGTTCAAGTTTTCTAGGAAATTTGAGAAATCTAATGAAAGTCTCAATTTTGCCTCACAGGCCTCTATTAATAAACTAACTTATTGCGAGTTGCTAAATTGTTATTTTGAAAAGGAGCAATACTTCTAATCAAACATTTGTGTTTCACATCAGGAATCACACTCAAATGATCAGGAAAAATGGAAATCGTCTAGTATCTTGTGCGAAGAATATCAAATCAAAGTATTTTCCCCTCTGAGCGCAAGGGAAGTGGGGGATCCATAATTTTCGGGATTTTATTCCCTACAATCCCGGTGGTATCTTCTACCAAGCAGGGATAGCCAAATTTATGATATTCTATTATTACGGTTAAATATTGTAGCATCAATTAGATAACATCACTCTTGAAATTTTTTGAGTACTTAAATATCACCAATTCAAATATTCAAGTTTTCAACTATTTTATCAATCAATAATCGAGGTAGGAAGATTGATGATTACTTGTGTAATCGAAAATCATTTAGTAGTAAATTTACAGTTTCATATTAACAAATTTTAAATACATCATTATTCATAAAAAATCAGATTATTAATATTATATTATTTGAAAAATTGAATCAACAAATTTTAAACCTTCAATAATGTAAGGGTGAAATCCTTGTAATATTGTAGAAATTTAATATTGATGGGGATCCCTGGTACCAAGATTGGGCTGTATTTTCGAACAGCGATACAAGAAGAAGAAATTCATTGTGAGACGAGACATACTTGACAACTGCGTGGTGGGTTGAGTCAAGTGTGCTGGTCGTCTGCATCGTGAGCCTCAACTTGTGAAGGATGTCCACTAGCTCGTCCACCCTCTCGTCGTCCTTGACAGTGTTGGCGAAGATGTCGACGTCCACTGCACTTATCGATCCTGTGCTCTGGTACTTCTGGTCGAGCTCCAGGAACATGTCACTGGGATTGATCTTGCTGAGGAGAGGGGACTCGAATCTCTTGTTCCAGGCATCGGTGCAAGGGTAGGAGGCCGAGAGGAAGGTCCTCGAGGGCCTCTTCAAGCGCCTCAGCCGAAGCAAGGGACGAGTGCTCGATCTCACAGAACTCCACATATTTTGTTTTTTTTTCTTAAAGGTCTGAGGGGTTTAGATGAGCCTCAGAGCCATCATCAGTCGATTCGGAGCCTGGAGTGAGGTTAAGTCACATGTTTTTGGGGGAACAGCAGAGTTTATGGGATTTCTGAGGGGTTTGTTAGACTAGAAATGGGGAGAACCCTTACCTGAAGGTTTCTGACGAGTTTTTAGAGAGGATCAAGGTGATTTGATAGAGAATTCTTTGTTGTTTAGAGGAACTTTATCAGACTGTCCGGCTAGTTTTTGTATTGTTGCTGCGTCGATACTGCAGAGTTTTGGATTTTCTAGAGGTTATTATTTTGTTTTTGGAGCAGCTGGAGTGTTTGAACAATGAAATGAGATTTCTTTTAATTGTCGAATCTCTGGGGATTCATTCTTAATTATTAGGACGAGTTTTCGTTAAGGAAATGAGTGAGAGAGGGACTGTTGACGCGAGGAAGTGCTGGAGGAAGCAGAAGAGGGCACAGCACAGACTTTCGAGGGATATGGGGATCAATTGTTGTGATACTCCTACTCAGGTAATTTTATGAATGAATGAACAGTTGAATATTATTCAAACAAAGGAACAGCATAAATGTTCGTAGATTGAATTTTTTATTTACTTGCAGTCGAATTTGTTATTTACCATTTTTATTGTTTGTTTTCATTCGCAGAATTTAGTCATTTGTAATGCTGGATTGGTGACTGGTTTCACACGTCAGAATCTGGAAGACATTCTACGAAATTCTTGTGATTTGGTGAAGAATTATGAGATTTTAATGCCTCCGGGGAAGTCGTACTGCTTTGTTCAATTTCCAAGTCCAGAAATTGCTTCGAGAGTTTATGGTAGGGTCAATGGACAGGTCATCGATGGACAAGAGTCTCCTCTGTATTTAACATTTTCAGAATCACGTGAGTTTTTTTTTCATATGTTGTTCGTCGTCTTTTTGTTTAATAAGGGTGGGGCAAATTGGTCACTTGACTTTTGTTTCGATGTTCGTAATTGTGAAAGAAATTCGTTAATTGAGAGAATTGTATAGAATTGTACGTTGGAAGAAAAAAAGTACTAGGGTGAATCGTCCAGTGTTCGAACGAATAAGGTCACAGTTATTTTTGACGTAGATTTAAAAATATAACCAAGTCGAAAATTGATTTAAAAATAATTTTAACTCCCCTGTACATCTCCATAGATAATAGAAAAAAATATTATGGATATTAATTGACGATACAATTAATGATATGAATACAAAAAGCTGAAAATGAGTGAAAACCCAGTAATCGAAATGCGTATTCTGTAAGGGGAATATGCTATCGGCGGTGTGTCATCGAAAACTGGGTTTTCCGCTGGTAATAAGGTAACTTAGACATTTTCAATCATCACAATATCATTTGGAAATGTCATAATTCTATTTTTCATGTATAATGCGAGGCATCTCTACCTTCTACTAATTTATTTTATAGAGAAAGTACCAATTAGTTCGATTACTGATCTGGTTCGAACACTGGTTGGTTCACCCTATTCAATTAACATTTCAACGAGTTATTAACGTTGTGAAAAAATTCCGAAAGTGTCAATTTTGTCCCCCTCACATCTAAATGAATAATTGTAGTAGAAATTTCAGAGAACATTTTCAAGAACATTTTCATTGCTTTTCGCTGGGGAATTCAAAGAAAAATTCTCAACAGGAAAAAATTAATAGATAGTAGTTCTTTTTTTCAAATCGTTTTTTTGAGGTTTCTTTCATAGAAATTTTTTGTTTTTAAATTTTGCTTCTGATCTAATCCCCTTACAGACCACTCATATAAATAATGGTGCGATCAGTTGCATAAATTGTGAAAGAGAAAAATAATAAATGCAGTAAAACAGAGTCATACATCAGTATATAATGCCCTCAAACATAAATCCACGAATTGTCTACTTCTTTCTCACTATTAACAAATAGTAATGGTCGTCATAATGACTTCTTTTAATGGAAAATATCAAGAGACAATTCTCGCTGGAAATTAATTGAATGCCGATCGATTTATATTGAAAATTCTGTAGCTTTTCCATTAAGCAAAGCCAATCAATTTGGATTTTTCGATTCAAATCATCCTGGGGAGATTTTATTTATGGGAAATATTCAAACTAAATTGACTCATCCTTTTACACTGTATTTTTCTTCATTTATTATTGGAAATTATTTCATAATTATTTTTGGAGTCCTAAAAATTGGCTATTCATATTCCTCTTTAAAGTGGAAACTCTACTTATTACGTTTGTACACTCTACTGCTCTATTATTTAATAATTAAAATTATTTGTGCCAAAATGATCTAGTGCCAAAGTTGGAAGACAATTCGATGTCTCCCGACTTCCCTCCAGGTCTGAGGATTATCGAGGACTTCATAACACCTGAGCAAGAAATTTTTCTACTGGAAAATGTCCACTGGAATGAGAAGGATTCGTCCTCAGAGCTGAAACACAGGAAAGTCAAACATTTTGGGTTCGAGTTTCGTTATGATACTAATCGAGTCGACCCAGACGACCCCATCACTCCAATTCCTGAGGTTTTTAGGTTTCTGCAGAAGCTATTTAAGGAGCACCACTGTGGAGAGTTCGTTTACGATCAATTGACAATCAATCGGTATTTGCCTGGTCAAGGTAATTGGGGCGAATCACAAGCCTAAAAATACTCATGAAAAAACCTAGTGCATACACTGAGAGAAAAACGACAAAGTTCTCAAACAAATCTTACTTGTGCCAAGATAATAGTTTTTTGAAAATTATCAAAAAAGGATTTTTTTGTGTCAAACATGCAGAAAGTACGCTGAAATGAAAATTTTTTGTCGCGAAAATAGATTTAGTAGTTTAAAAAAAATTGCATCCGCTGTACACTCAAGAAATATCATTTCTAGTACAACTCCTTTGTTATTCAATACTCCCATAGGTATTTTGGTCCCGAACAATATTTGTTTTATGCAAAACAAGGGATAGTAGTTTTTCGTTTCGGCTGTCTAATAATCACAGACAAGAAATGAACCCTTAAATGAAACAATAATAATGATATGATAACAATCTTGTAACTTGGTGATAAAATATTTTTATTGATAAATTTTTCTCTACATCAGATATTTTCATCCTGCAAGTCTCTCCTTAAATTTTCTAACGACCAATTAGAATTGATTAATACATTTTCGTTCAGGCATTCCACCCCACATCGACACTCATAGTGTCTTCGAGGACCCAATCCTGAGTCTATCACTGGGCTCAGCCTGCGTAATGGATTTCAAGAAGAACGAGAAGAAAATTCACATTCCTCTTCCTCCTCGGTCGCTACTAGTAATGTCTGGGGAGTCTAGGTATGCCTGGTCCCACGGGATATGCCCTCGACACAGTGACATCGTGTCAGACGATAATGGCATTACTACAAGACAGAGAGGCACTCGTACATCATTCACTTTTAGAAAAGTGAGGAGAGGAGATTGTCAGTGTTATTTCGACGAGTACTGTGATACGGTGGATAAATACAGCAAAAATATAGATGACTCTGTAGCCCCAGGGCTAGAATTATCTTATGTGCATGAGGTAATTATCACAACATAAAACTCTGAATAAATCAATAATAATTGGAAAATTCTTAACTCGTCGTTACTCACGCAGTTCTTGAACAAGTTTTTCAATGGCATTTCACTTATCGACAGTAAACATAATGAAAAGAAAAGAGAATGGAATTGGATAGTTAAATGTTTGAAGAATAATATTTGTCCAATAATGTTCGTTTTTATCGATGCTGACGTGCTGAGAGAAAATATTGAAAAACGCCTGGGGTGTCCTACACCTTACGTGAGGACCAGAGCGTTAATAATACTTGTTGGTAGTTATTGTTGATTTATCAATGATAAGTAGGAAGCTTTCATAACAAGATTTTTTAAGAGAAAATGTTTGTTTTCAGGTATATGAAGAAATTTCGAGTCACTTCGATGAGACAAGACACAAACAGTGGCCCAATGTAGCTAAATTCCTTGAGAGTATTGAGCCAGGAAGTTTTTTACTCGATGTTGGATGTGGAAATGGAAAATACCTGAATGAAACCCCAGGGATTTTTAAGGTAAAAGAACATAATTTCTCTTTAGATCAATTCACTTCATTGTTTGAAAAGAGTTGGAATTTCATGGATTGTTTTGCTTACATGTGATTTACGGGGAGAAGAATCGTAAATTACAGAATTTTACAGAGAATTCAACGCAATTCTCGACTGGATTAAATTTCCAATCAAAACATGAATGTTTAGCGCCAAGTTATGCAAAATTATTACATAATAATAATCCGCTCTAATTTTAAATCTCCAATTTTCAATTTCTGTCATTTATTCTATTCATTCTATCAAAAGACAAGGATAGAAATCGAATTTATGGGTATTCTTTCATTACTCGAAAAAATATATGAGGTATTCCCCGTCAAATGAGTCAATCGCTGACCCCCACCCTCTTGGAAATTAATGGCGATTTTTTCTATGATCGGGGAGGCTGAAAAACTATCAAATTTTTTCAGATTTTTTCGGCAGCCCAGTTTGGAGATGTTTTTTTTTCACATTTTTCCGTTTTTTCCAATAACTCGAGTTCTATTTGTCCGATTTTGATTTATTAAGCGTCAAAATGTTCCATTTTTTACCGCCTATACGACTATTTTTAGTAATTTTTTTTTTCGATTCCTAGATGCCCATAATAACGAATTTTCGAAAAAAAGTTGAAAAACTTGCATTTTGCAAATTACGTCACGGTTGATATTCAAATTTTTTTTTCAGTAATTCTCATAATCAAAACAAGTATTTTGGGCTGTCATTCAAGTTGCGCATCCTCCTGGATCTATGTTATTTTTAATTTTTTCTTTTGGAAATCTTGCAAATTTGGTCAAAACACCACAAAACGACTTCGACTATGTATCGAAAAAATAGATAATATATGTATAGGTATACAATCAAATTCACTTCAAACTGTCTATAATCAAAGTCAATCAACGCCATTTTGAGGCGTTGCGACCAAATTTACGGAATTTCGAAACGAAAAAACTGAAAATAAAATAAATCCAGGACGATGCCCAACTTATATGATGGCTCAAAATACTTGTTTTGATTATAAGAATTACTGAAAAAAAAATCAAACAAATCATCCGTGACATAATTTGCAAAATTCAAGTTTTTCAACTGAGTACCGATATCTTTTTACCATATGAAGGGAAAAATTGATTAAAAATTTTTGAAGAATACATGAAGAGATTTTTCTATTACCCGAATGAGATTTTGAATGACTTTTGTTTTGTGTGTTTATTTTGATCACAAACAAAACATTTTTGATTGATCTTTAACATAATTGCTCTTCATTCAATGTTGTAACTTATGAATGAATGAATGGATAAAATTGAATTAGTCTAATTGTGAAGACGGAAATGAAAATAAAATAAAATAAAATAGTATAGGGGAGGTAGGGGCAAAGCGGACCCCTTCGAAAAAAAAAAGTGTGGGGTAAAGTGGACCCTCACATAAATTATTGAATCGAGTCGCCAGAATTATTCTAATACGTTTTATAAAGTGAAATTTACTACCTGGACTAAAAAAATATGCAATGAGGGTAAGTATAAATTTGTGTGAGCTCCTGCGGATCTAATTGTGAACAAAAAATGTGAGTTTTTGATCGACAGCGATTACATTCTATCCAATCGGTAGAACAACATGACAATGACTCCTGACAAACGGAAAATTAAAATAATTTTAAAAAAACAGAGGGTCCACTTTGCCCCAACATTAATTTTTTTTTAAATTTAATGACAGATCTTAATTGCAATTCTAATGAGATTATGATCTCCACGTGAAGTGCATTGACTCATTAGAATTTAAAAAACTAAACGATTCGCTTAGAGGGTCCGCTTTGCCCCTACCTCCCCTATATTTATTGAAAATCAAAGAATATCAACAATTAAAAAATCAGAAAGTTTGTTTTCAACAAGAAGCTTTCAAAAACTTCAAAAAACTTTCCTATCTCCCAGAATATCCATGATATTTGAAGGAAAATGATGTCAATACCAATCTGGCTTTGCACTACTTATTTCATTTTTTCATGTTTTTATTTCTTGACCAATGGAGTGTAATACCCACAAAGAATCTCATCTCAATTAGAAAAATGTTCTAGGTCGGCTGCGACAGGAGTTCAGGATTAACTGGGATCTGCAGAAAAAGATCCTTTGAGGTTTTCCTATCCGACTGTCTCCAATTACCATTTAAATCGAATTCTCTGGACGCTGCAATAAGCATCGCAGTGATTCATCATCTCTCGACCCCAGAGAGACGGAGATCCGCTTTTCTAGAGATTCTCAGAGTACTGAGACCTGGGGGAAGGTGTTTGATATACGTTTGGGCTAAGGAGCAGCACAGGAACTCGAAGGACTCGACTTACCTTCGGTTTAATCCCAAGAAAAACGAGGGTTCAGGGAGCAGGGAGCTGCAGAAACTCTTTCAGGGACTTGCTCTTCCTGTCCACGAGAATCGAACGAATTTCAGTCACAGTGACGTCCTCGTCCCCTGGAAGAGGAAGGGAGGGGGCGAATTTCTGAGGTACTATCATGTTTTTGAGGAAGAAGAGTTTGTGGAACTTTGTAAAGGCCTCATTGAATCAACAGTTGAGAGGATTTACTACGATCAAGGGAATTGGTGTACCATTTTGAAGAAAATATAGTTTTTTACAGTCAATTTGTTGTTAATTAATTGATTTCATACCAATTAGTGGAGAAATTTTTTTTTTAGCCAAGAGAAGACAATATTTTCCTATTGCTTTCGAATGGAAGCATTGTAATCGCTCATATTTAAGTTTTGAATTTTTTGTGTTATGTCGACCCATTATAGTCCAAAAAGTTCGAAAATGCAATTTTCAGACCGTGTCTGTACGTATGTGTGTGGTAAAGTTTTTATTCAATTGGTTGATAATGAATGGATGGAATTGAATCTTTTTTTTTTCAAAAGTAGCTGTTGTTGAGCCCTATTGATCGCCAATAATTAAAATTTAATTCATCGATTAGTTTTTTTAATTTTTGAATTTTTTCGAAAATCGGTTGTCCTACTATAACTAAAAAAAATGTACTGAATTGATTGAATGATGGCTTCAAAAATTAGTTTGGATGTCCCTTTGAACGAGTGCGAAGATGAAGGCGATAGCAATAATCGTTATTTTAGTCGAAAATTTTGTATTTTTTGAAAATCAAAATTCCGGGGATATCTTTAAATATGATGCTTGAAATGAATTCAATCATAGCTTAAAATGTTTGTTTTAATGCCATTAAGTCGAAGTTAAAAGATGACTACGATAGCTATATTGATTGATTTGATTTTTATAATGATTGTTGAAAATTTTGAATTTTATGAATTTCCCTGAAAGTGAGCTTTCTGATGGTTTCTTTAAATGTGATGTTTCAAATTCATTCAAGTATGTGTAAATAACAGTTTTATATTGCCATTTTATCGAAGGGCTGAGGGGAGAGATAGAGCTGTAAAAAAGGCAATCGGTTGTATAGAAGAAGAGGGATAATAATAATGAGGATCCTGCTAAAATTCAACTAGTTGAAAATCGGACAAAATTAGGTAAAAGGAAATCTTATTCAATTTAATAAAATGACATAAACAAGGAATTATACATGATAGAAGGAAATGATGTGCAAAATAACCATTGAGAAGTATATTGTTAATTTATTAGCAAAAATAACTGTACTACATACAACACAAGAGCAATTTGCTACTTGTCTGTTCCTAGTTTTGAGACCTGGAGAGGGGGTTCGGTTAAGCAGAAACACAGGCACTCGAAAGACTCGACTTGTCTTCGATTCCATTCCATAAAAAAACGAAGATTCAGGATGCACCGAGCTGCAGAAGCTCTTTCAGAGACTTTCTTTTCACGGCCAAAAAAATCTAATGAATTTTAGTCGTTGAGGAAGAGGAGTTTATATTCAAATTTTAAAAAAATTAATGAAACTTTCTAAAATCTTAGTGAGTCAACAATTTAGAGAATTCATTGCGATCAGGGAAAATGGTGTATCATTTTAAGAAAAGTAGTTTTTGCAGTAAATTTGATATTAGTTGATTGAATTTTATTAATTAGTGGAGAAAGTATTCAGCGAAGAAAGAGTGGTAAAAGTCTCTCATCTGTTCCCGGTTTAAACACACCACTGAGAGAAAAACAGAAGAGCTCTCAAACAAGTCTTATTTGCGCCAAAAAAAATCGTTTGTTAAAAACGATCAAAAAAGGATTTTTTTGTGCCAAACATGCGAAGCGTGCGCTGAGATTGAATATTATTTCTGCAAAAATCGATTTAGTCTTTTCAAAAACATTTTATTCTCTGCGCAAGCAAGAAATGTAATTTCTAGCACTATTTCTTCGTTATTCGATGCTCCCATACGTATTTTGCTCCAGGCAAATGCTCGTTTTATATGAAGCGAGAGATAGTAGTTTGTCGTTTCGGCAAATCAATAATCACAGACGAAAAATGAATTCTTAAGGTTATCCAAGTACTTTGACTATTTTTTCTCCAGTGAAATGCTTCTCTACTTTTGTAGTCGAGCCTCACAGCTTTCTTTTGAGCCCCATTTGACCCTAAGTTTCCGGGCATTTTACAAAGACTATTATTTAAACTTTGCAGGTCTGAATTTGAATCTTTATATACTACTGTTAGAAAACATTATAAAAATCTGAAGAAATTTTAGAAAGTTTACTTTTGGAGGAAGATTGATGAAATAATTAAAAAGTTGTAATTTTTGAAAATTATGAGCCTTTTCTACAAATAATTTATAAACAATCAATTTTCTACCATAAAAGTCATTTGTTCGGAATCGTAACAAATTTATTAATATTCAGAATTTTACCATAAATCGTTTTCATGCCTAAAAAAAAAGGTTTCCGAAAGGTTGAACAATTTTAATTATGTATTTATAAACAACGAATGTTTAAAAAATAATAATTCTGTGCAAAATGAAATTTCAATGACACTGAATATTCATGAATTTTTTCAAATTTTTCTCACGCAATTTGATTGACAAATTTGATGATTGAAAATAGTTGAATCTATAGTGTGGTCTGTACCAAACTGTAAAAGATACTTGGATATTCTTAAAGGCAATAATAATAATGATATGACAGCAATCTTGTAACTTAGGGACAAAATATTTTTTTTGATAAACTTCTCTATAATAGTATTTTTTTTTATTCATTTTTTTTCTATAATAGTATATTTCGTTACGAGTGCGGAAAAGAGTTTTTTGGCTCATGGGAGGTTTCGGCACGAGCCGAAGGCGAGTGATATAATCCCACGAGCCAAAAAACAATTTTCCCACGAGTATCGAACGATATTTTTCATCACAATGTACGGAAAAGGGACGCTTTATCCACGCTTCGCGTGCCTAAACAGTTACTTTTTCGCACAGCGTAATGAAAAAGGTATTTTTATCCTAAAAACGCACCATCTTGTATATAAATGATACGCCTCATGAGCCAAGTATTTCATTGTTGTTGAAACAAACAATTTCTTTTTTGGCAAATGACTGACGATCGGAGCAAATGTAACTGGTCTCCAATTACTCATTATCTCAATAATGAGAAAAGATTGAATGTCTTTTGTAAAAAATTTCATCAGTTACACGGAAAGAAAAGCGATAGAATTCTTAAACTATTCTTACTTCCAAAAAAATATTTTTTTTTATTTTCAAGAGGATTTTTTTATGCCAGACATGCAAGGTGGACCGCGATAAAAAATTTTTATCACAAAAATAGATTTAGTAGTTTCAAAAAAATTGTATTCTCTGCGCAAACAAAAAATCTCATTTCTAGCACTACTTCTTCATTATGCGATATTTCCGTACGTATTTTGCTCCCGAAAAATGTTCGTTTTATGCGAAACAAGGGATAGCAGTTTTTCATTTCGGCTATTCAATAATCACATGCAAGCAGGGATCGCCATCAATATTAAATTTCTGTAATATTACAAGACTTTGACCCTTACATTAATGAAGGTTTAAAATACGTTCATATAATTTTTCAAATAATATAATATTAGTAAGATGATTTTTTTTCAAATAATGATGTATCTAAAATTTGTTAATATGAAACTGTAAATTTACCACTAAGTGAATAATTCAAATTTCTCAAAAAAAATTTCTTCCTACCTCAATTATTGATTGATAAAATAGTTGAAAATTTGAATTTTTGAATTGATGATACTTGACTTGTCAAAAAATTTAAGAGTGATATTAACTAATTGATGGCTACAATATTTAACGGTAATTAAATATTACAAATTTGGCTATCCTTGCATACAAGAAACCGATATGATAGCAATGTTGTAACTTACGGAGAAAATATTTCCTGCTAAATTTTCTTCGATATGAGATAGGGGAGGGTGGGGTAAAATGAACATTGTTGACTTTTTTAAAAATATTCATAACTCAGAAACAGACTTATCAATTGAGCCCAGTCTAAGCTCATCACAAAGGGGAAAACTTATTCTTTCAATTGAAAAATAAAATTATTTCATTTCATGAACAATTTAATACGTCATGAACATTTAAAGAAAGTCGAGTGTTCATTTTACCCCACCCTCCCCTATTCTCATCCTGAAAAGACATCGTATCGTGTGAATTATCCGCCTTTTGAGCCAAATATTTCATTGTTTTTTTTTTCATTTAAGGCCCGGGTGTACTATCTTTCGAATGTTATCTGTTTTTTTTCATCTTTCGTAATCCAAAATTGTCAATTGAGTGGTACATCATGTAGAAATTCCCAAAAATTATGATAGAATGATTAAAAAAATAGCAAAAAATTTTGAACTTTTTCAAAGAGCGTTTTTAATTGAGATTCAGAATGAGTTGAAAAAAGTGGAAATTACAAATATTTGATTCGTTGTGGCAAATTATCTATTAACTGGCATTTTCCATGGTGGATAACAAAACACTAACTCCTATGTGAAATGACAACTAGGTATCTCAATTTTCAAAGCAGTGGTATGTAGTCATCTGTCATTTTTATGTGATAAAAGCGTGATTAAAAAATTCTCCAAAATATTACCACTTTTTTCAAAGAGCTTTTTCCGTAATAAATGTCTCTGTGCAGTGTGGAAAAAGATTTACAAAATCAGTCTTCCCCCTGCATGATATTGGGTGACAGGTCGCCATTTGTCACCGTTAACCAGATACATTTTCCAATTTCTTGTTATTCAACTTATTCGGAATATAAATTAAAAATGCTCTTTGAACAAATTAAGAATTTTTTCTACTTTTTTTTATTATTCATTCATAATTTTTCAAAACTTCTGCAACTGACAATTTCAGATGACGAAAGATGAAAAAAAAACATCGAGATAACGTTCGAAAGATAGTACACACCCGGGCCTTAATTTTATTTAATTTTATTTTCAACTAACGATTTTGTTGGCTCAAACAGAACTGGTCTGAGAATGTGTTCGTTTTTCTCTCAGTGTTGGTCTAAGGAACATGATCACAGGAATTTGAAAGACTCGGCTTCTTAGTTTTCATCTAAAAAAAAGAGGATTCAAGGGATACGGAGCTGCAGAAGCTTTTTCAGGGATCCGCACTTCTTGTCCACGAAAATCGAACGGATTTTATTCACAGCGATGCCCTCCTGCATTGAAAGAGGAACGGAGAGAGCGAATTTCTGAGGCATTATCATGTATTTGAGGAGATGTTCGTGAAACTTTGTAAAGTCCTTTGCGAAACAACAGAGAGGATTCATTGCGATCAGGGAAATTGGTGTACAATTTTGAAAAAAATATAGTTCTGTGTGGTTGATTTGTTATTAATCACTTCATTTTATATTAATCAATGAAGAAAGTATTTCCCAACAAATAAAAGGTAATAAACACGTCCAGTGCATTCATCTTCACATTTGATTTCTCTTTAATTCGTAAAACAAATGTTTTTTTTTCGAAAAGTTTATTTAATCCCTAAGAGATATACAAAACAAACATTTCCTTTGCAACTATTATAATTCCCTAGAGTAACGCAGGAAATTTGTCATGAGTTTTCATTTTTTACTTCATTTATTTCTTCATTCGTTTAATTATTTCTTTATTTCAAATATTGAACGTCGGTTTGATTGGACATCACATGATGTTCATTTTGCATTATTAAAATTTAATCACTCATTACTTAAATTCCATCGAGTGGATGCCCGCGGTACAAATGAAACTCTCACACGTGTCCGAATCCTCATTCTCTTCCGTAATTTCTTTTTTTTCGATATCCAGCTATCCTCTAAAATTATGCACATCTGCAAATCAGTATTAAAATATTACAATTTCATATTTTACAGTTGATTTTATCCCATTTATTAATTTTTTTTGTTATCTCTCTTTCACTAGCTCTCATTTTTATGGAGAAAAAAAGGGAGGAAATAAAGAGGAAATTCCTCGCTTTATTCCTCTGAATGCCCTGGAGAAATGGGCTTTCACTCGTTATCACGCATGGCTTCAGAGGAATCGAGGAAAAAATGATTAAATAAAGTGTGAAAGCAGAAGGGGGAGATCGAAGAGCGATTCAGCAATGTCTGGACATGTTCCCAAATAATCCTCACACGGTTTTATTTTCCCATCAGCTGCCTGTCGAGTCGAGATTACAATCGTGAATTGCAGCAGATGTCTCTTGCACCTCTTCCACAAGAATAAAATTATCATAATTTTGGTTTTCATTCAAATTTTCCTTGAAAGTCTTCAAATACTTCAGTTTTTCTGACGGTTTTATTCAAACTTGGAAGAGATCTGTACATAACTAGAAATCTAGGAATGTCAACATTACAAGAAACGACAATAATTTATTACAATACAGCTGTACACCCAGGCAAAATGACTCTTGGCAGCATTTTTGTATATTTCTTTTGTTATATAAGAATTTGTTACTCGTGTTTAAATTAACTCTCATTACTTATCAACTTCATCGCACTTCTTCCACGTTGAATTAATTCATCTAAATTACCTCAGATTGCTGTTGTTTTAACTGTAGTTGTACTCTTTATTGTAATTGCGAGAACGGAGGATGAAAAATGACGAGATTGAAAGGCTCGTTTTTATTAGTTTCAAATGATGTTTTTCTCCTTCTTATTTATCTCATTGAAAAGTAAATACACTTGTACACTTACAGAAACACTCATTCGCATGACAAAAGGATTCCGAAGGAGTTTTCAACACTCGTGCGAAATAAAAGAGCTCTTTTCAATGATTAAGTAACACGAGAAGTCAACAACTCACGCTAAACTCATTGTTTATTACTCCATCATCACAAATTTGTTTCTAAAAAAAAAAATCATCAATTCTTTACTATTTTAAACGATCCATCAAAGGAAAGTAAGCGCAATTTAACAACTAAATACTTTGTTCCTCTATCAAATTAGGGATTTGAAAATTGTATTCACTCGAAGAACGCACACACCTCTCAGTTCCCACTCATTTTCGCAAAATGTGAGACAGAAAAAAATTGCTAAAAAATTAACGATACAAAATGATTGAGGAAAATGAAACTAAACTGGTTTTTTCTCTCTAGAAAATATTTTTTTTCTTTGAAATTTGAAAAAAGAGAACGACGACCCTGGGACATCTCCTTTCGTTACTTCTCCTCATTGGGCTCTTTATTTTAATTATTTTCGCCTATGTCTCTTGGACTTTCACAAAGTGTCATTCCTGCCAGATTGGTTTCATCTCACATTAGAGTTTTTGCATTTTCCTATTCAATTACTCTTTCCATGGTGGTTTTTTGTTGCTTTCAATCTTACTATCAATTATGTTAAAATACAAATTTCACTCATACCATTAAATCTCTCTCACTCACAGTTGTTTCGTATTTTTTTACCTCTTTTACAACATAATAGCTTCACTCACTCTCGCATACAATGTTTCTGTTCTGTTACTTTTTATTACTATTACTTTTTTTTACTTTTTGTATTTTTCTTCAACTCTTTAAAATAATAATTATTAAACGCTGCGATGGGGGGGGGGGAGGGGAGGAGGAGGGAGGATAATGGAGAAAATTAAGAGAATGAGAAGTATGTGAAAAATAATGGAGAAAAAAAAAACAAAATTCGTAATTCGAGAGAATGAGGAGCAACGAACAATAATTATTTTTTGGTTAGTCAAATTGTTGCATTGCCTAAGCCAAGTCGTAAGTACACTCACTCTAAGGTAAATGGTATGTACAGTAGGTGAGTCATCGCATTATTTCCTTCAATAATGTTCGAAAAAGTTTCCTAATTGTACTTAAAAAATAGAAAATAAGAAAAAAGTCCAAAATCGAAGGGAAAATGGTGGGTTAAAGGTATCTCATACGTCTTCACACTATTTTTTGTAATATATTTTCGCTCACACGTTCATTCGCCACGCAAAAAAATTTTCATGAATTAATTTTTCATATTCTTTTAAATCTTGTTGGTTTTCATTTCTTTCAGTTTTGCTTTCAAATTATCTCTCGATTTTCTTTTTTTGCATCTTTATTCTTTTATTAGACGTGCTCCCGTTATTCATCATCTTCGTCGGCATCATCTTCTTCGACTTCTTCCTCACTCTCGTTCTTAATCGCGTTTGCAGGCGCTCCCACTCCCGGACCGTCCTTCATTTTCTTTTTGTACGCAGTCATTTCCTTTAATGAAAAGTTTCAGGTTCCACGATTAACGGCCTAGCACATTGGTGTGACACGTTCGACTTGTTTTTCAATGGTTTTTTCATCTATTCTTTATTTTTGATTTCGTAATGCTTTTTGAGATACGATGGAGTCAAGTAATGATGGAACGAAGGAAAAAATGAAAGAAGGCAATGAAAAATTCGCTATTCATTAAAAAAAAAAAGAGAGATTGTTTGAGTTGTCATCTTGTTGGAGACAATAATTTCCTGATCATTCATTACACCCATTTTTATTGCTCATCTTCCACATTTTCCTCCGTTGGATTTTTGTCCTTTTTTCATTTTGAGATTATTATTAATTAATATTAATTATTATAATTAATCATTATCATTAATCTTTAAACTTTTTTTTTCATTTTTCATTTTAATCTTTAATTGTAATTATATATCATGTCTGAAAGGATTCTCCCCCGAGAGAATAGCGGCTACTGCTCAGTGACTTATTAATCGAAATTCTGATCATAAAATTTCTCCCGGTCCTTCCGCCATTTTCTTCTTGTATGCAGTCGATTCCTTTAAAAAAGTTATATTTTCCTCGATTAAAAAAGCGTCGCTGTAAGCGATTCACTTTTTGTGATAAAATGTGTGTTATTCAATTTATTTTGTCATCAATCTTTAATCTTTTAATTGAAGAAATTCAATGACTCTAATCGATACTCTACGTCAATTAATTCATTTGTATTTATGTGGGTTAGATTCAGGAAAAGAAATTTTAAGAAGAGAAATACGAATGAAAAATTCCACTGACAATTCACCAATTCTGAACAATAAAAAAATCACTTGAAAAAATATTTCAAACATCGAAACATCAGTGGAATTTTCCTTCGATATTTTGCGAAAATTAATTCGTCTAAGAAGCGACAGTTCATCGTTTGCACTGATGCCAAAGAAATGCTCTAATGAAGCACATGTAGAAGCACAAAGTACCTGACAGCATCAATCTGTACATGTTTTATCAACATCTCAGAATATTCCCAACTTTTTCAATCTCTTATTACAGTTCTCATTATAAAAAAGAAAGAAAAAAAAAGAACAACAACAACTACCCAAATCTACATATTTTCAAGTTGTTCAAAATTTTGCACATGATTTCAATGAATTAAGTATTCAAAAAAAAGAAAAGAGAGTCAACAAAAAAAGAAGGATAATTCAATGTGAATACGTACCCTTTCATATCGAGCTTTGTCCTTCTCTGCCATAGCTTCATATTTGGATTTGGTTTCTGGATCAGCATCAGACCACTTCTTGCCCAATTCCTTAGCAATATCACCTACTCCGTACTCTGGGTTTAGCATTTTAACCTTGCCACGCTCATCATTACAGAACCAGAAGAAGGCAGACCTAGAGGTGATGATCGAAACCGAATTGAATTGAATGAAAAATCCGAATGAAGAAATTACGTCATTCAATCAATAGAATTGAATCAACAATTTAACTGTCGTTAAATCACCACTTACAATGATCTTTTTGGTGCATTGGGATCCTTGATGTGCTTGCGTTTCTTTCCCCTGCCTTTGACATTCTCACCCTTGGGTGGTGTGTAATTTTGCATTTCTGCGTCGTACCTCTTCTTATCCTTCTCAGCCATCTCGTGGAAACGTTTCTTCTCCTTGTCAGACATGGTCTGAAACGCAATAACGTCCAAAAAATATTACATCAAGGCTATTCAAAGCCCTCGAACTAGCTAAATTCAAACTATTGGAGTAACACATTAAGAATGTTAAAATACACCAGAAGAAGAATTCCTATTGAATTTGCTATTAAAAATTTTATCAGCTCTTCGGCGTTTCTCCGTGTTTTTTTGGAAGGGTAATCATTAGCAGATCATTTTTTATCGTAAAATTCAAAAGATTTTGTTATTTACATACAAATTATTCTACTAAGATATTTTTAAGGGTATTCGTCTGTGAAATTTAAGCCTTGACTGGGCCTTGGGACCCATTGAACAGGAAAAACTTCATTTTTTCCTGTTTTTACCTTCAAAAAGCTCTTTGCGCCGTAGATTTCATACGATTTTATTTTTTTTATGTTCGTTACACTCCAAAGAAGAAAGTTAAGCATCCGTTTTACTTTATTCGCAATAGATCATGAATAAATGAATTTTGGTTTTCATAATTTTTTTGCGTCTCTAGTGTAGAGTAAAATTTATGAAATTCAAAATTAATTTATTCATGATCTATTGCGAATAAAGTAAAATGGATGCTTAACTTTATTCTCTAGAGTGTAACGAACATTTAAAAAAAAGCTTAAATCGTATGAAAACTACGGCGCAAGGAGCATTTTGAAGGTGTAAACAAGAAAAAATGAAATTTTTCGTGGTTATACGGAGCTAAATCGATCGGGTCTGCGATTTTCCCCAGTTATTCCCATATTTCGTCGTATATCACAAACTGTCCAATGGGTCCCAAGGACCAGTGAAGACTTAAATTTCATCGACGTATCCCCTTACATCATGTTTTAAGTACTTTTCATTGCTTGTTTTTTCTCTCCAAAAACATGAAGCAAAAAAGTGGACGATTTTAGCTGAGGCCTTTCTATTGAAAAATCAAAATCTATTAATTGTTTTTAAGAAAAAATTTCTATGGAACATCTCTCTTAAGAAAAATCCGCAGCAAAGCCGTTTTTCAATAGAATTGACGAGAACTGAATGGAATTTCAATAGGAAAGTTTAATAAAAATTCCTGACGAATGTGATGGGTGGCTCCTGTTATATTTTTTGTACGTCGTTTCTTTGACACAATAATGAACAAATTAATGCATAAAAATCCTCAAATCAATGGAACAAAACTATCTTTAGTTCAAAAAACTTGAAATTCCATTGGAACAACTAATTAAACAAATCAATATAGAACAGCAAAAATAAACTGCATCAAATTTCGTAATTTTCCTGTAAACAGAAACGTCACATCCCCATCGAATTTGCATTAAACGCCTTCCAATTTTTTCCCTCTATTTTTTACATTTTTTTTTCGAGGGGCGACGGAAAAAGGGGGGTGAGTAACGCCAGTGGAAAATCAAGATGGAGAGGATTGGTAATGGCTGGTGTGTGGTGGTGGGGCAGAGGGGGACTGAGAGAGGAAATATAGGGGGGAGGGTTGGAAGCCAGGGGAATAGTCGGGGAAGGGGCGGGTAGACTCGTAGGGTTGGTCGATAGATAGAAGCAACGGCTGAGGCGTTTTCTACCCTCCAAAGGGGGAGAAAGGGAAACGAAATATAACCCAGTTCTTCCTTTTTTTCTCCGTCTCTCTTTTCCTAGCGAACATTTTTTTCTTCTAATGTCACCCCCCCCCCCCCCTCTTAAAACTCGTTCAAAGAATGTCGACGGTCTGGCGGCATTTGTGTCGGCGGGGGGAGGGGATAGGAACAGGTGAATTTTCGAGAATGAAAACGAGCTGAGCCAAGGATAAAAGGGAGAGAGGCTAAATTTTGGGATATGAATCAGTTTGTGGGACATAAATTTTGTAGAAAAGGCATTGGAAAATGTTAATGGTTCGATTTTAACTGGCGAATGAAAAAATTGTTAATGTCGTTATCATCAATAGATTCCACAGATTGTTCGTTATTTCGAAATGGTGAAAGAAAAAAAGATTTGATCCATAAAATACCGATAAACAATTTATTTTCACTGTCGGGGCATCGATTTACGACGTAGAAAATTTCCTCCACGGTAGTGAAGTATACGACAGCATCAGGTGGGGTAGGAAGGCCGCCTCTCCCCACCAATTAAGGTCGCCGTAAATATTACGAATAAATTTTCCACGGGATTTAGTGCGATGAAATTGCAAGCCAGACAAGCGTCATACCCCAGCATTAAGTACCACCCCAATTTTTCTCATTTCTCATTAACTTTTTTTCTTCATTTCTCTTAATTTTTAGTATCAAAGAAATCACGGGGGGATAAATGTCATGAGAATGTGAATTCAATGATTGAAAAAATTTAATGATAATTGATCGTTACCTTCCACCTCATGGCGCACTTCCTGGAGAACTCCTGGAAGACAATGTTCTCCTCTGGATGCTTCTTCTTGTGCTCCTGGCGGCACGTCTGTACGAAGAAAGCGTAAGCGGTCATTCGCCCCCTTGGTTTCGTGTCCGTTGCCTTTCCCCTCGGCATTTTGTTAACCTGAGCGTTATTCTGCTGAAGATTATTCTGCTGTGGTAGCTGTTGTATCTGATGCTGAATCGAAAAAAAAGTCAATTGTCAAACAATTCAACTACAGCGCAGGAAGTCGCAGTCGTATTAGACCCAGGAATAGTGTCTTTTAATAGTTTCGAGTCGTTCAAGTTCAGGGATTCACTTGTAAATTCAATCGTCGAAGCTAAAATCGGTGGAACAGCCGCTCTCTCGTGTCGCGTTCATTCGCCCGTTAATTATTTAATTGAAATCCAATTGTTTCATCAAGTTCAAGACTACACGGGGCAATCACTTCCCCATTCGCAACGATTTTTTCTTCATCCCTTCGGACAATTATTTGGGGGTGAGATTTTTCGGATATTTCAGTTTCTCAAAAAGTCGGAGGGTTGACGCGCAGGAATGGACGACCTTGACTCTAGTCTCTCGCACACTGCCGGAGACGCGCACAATAAAAATATCCTACTCACACGTTTCCTCAATCCCACCTCACACCTAAAAACATCTCAATAACGCAGCGAAATATTCTCGGACGTTCACGATTTTTTTAAGTTCAATTTTTTTTCTGCTCATTGAGGTTTGCGCGGGGATAAGTCAGTGTCGATGAACCGGTGTATCACCATCGGTTAATGAGTCATTATCGATTCGAGGATACTGACAAGATTTTTATTCGTTTCATGAACAAAATGGAATTAATTTTTTTATTCGGTTGTAAAATGTTGAATGGAATTTCGCGAGAAATCATTTATTCAGATCAACTCTGAATAATCATTTGCTCTCGGGTAATCACTCACATTCAGGTGATTTATGATGATGAAAATTGTGAAAAAAATTTCCATCAAATTTTTTAAAAGTTTTTGAATCAGATGAATAAAACAAAAATTGCAAAATGTCGTCATTGTTATTGAACGCGAAATGATAATAAAAATCTCATTCCAAAATATAATGAAAGAATAGTAAAATTATACGAGGGGGAAAAGAGAAAGAGAGAAAGAGAGAGAGAGGGAGGAAAAGAGAGAGCGCGCGAGCACGACCCGGCTTTAACCAGAATCAATAGCGGCCGCACACGCCGATGGCGTTGTTGAACAGAGACAGTCTCATGGTAGAATAAAGAGAGACAGAGAGAGGCGAAGTAACGGACTGTAACGTTCAGGAAGAAAGTGCAAAAATACTTATGAATTTTTCTTCGTAAAGCAATGAAATAAAGAGAAAAAAAAGGCAAAAAATATCGGTCAAACAATAATATTTTCACTAGACCCAAGTGGAATTCCAATTTCTTTTACCCTCGAGTTGTTATTCCGTCGTATTTACTCTTATTATCAATTTCCAGACTCGAAATTGGCTCGAGAATTCGTGGCAACACGTGGGAAGAAAATTAAGAAAAAAATAAACCTCCAAGGCGGAAAATTCAGGGACTAATTGTTGCCGATAATTTCACTCCACCGAGCGTTGAAAGGAATGATAATTAAATAACGTTTTACTCGGTTGGATTAAAAATTGAATTGAAGGAGGAAAAAAAAAAGGAGAGAACAAGGAGCCTCCGCGCGCGGGACAGCTCCAGAGTAGAGGGAAGAGGAGGAAATAAAAAAGAAATATATAAGAGAGAAGCGTGGCTGACCCGAGTGAGAGAATAACCGGTATCTGGGGCCCTGTACACCTTGCTTGTGAGGCCCGCAGAAGGAAACACACTAGCCCACGAGACCCGTGTGGAAGAGTCGAGAACAAGCCGAAGAAGCCCACGTAGTTAATTTGAAAAATTTGCATTTGTGACTCGTTCACCGCACGAAACCAAGTCGAGTCATTGGTCTATCAATGGAGCCATCCCAAAGAGTCAAGACGAGGCGTCAAGTTCCAAAAACCACCGGAATTTATCAAATTTCCCCGCAACCTTTGTCCCCGGCCCCTGAGAATGCCCCAGGAATTCAGAGTATGAACAATTACCAAGTGATTGTTCATTCAATATCAAGAATTGCCCAATACTTTTCCCAAATATACAACTCAAATAATTGAGTTGTTCCAACAGTTGAGGTACAAAAATCATGTGAAATAAACAATAATCGTCGCGCCATGTGTTTTCCAAATAAAAAACATACCGCTCCAATTTGATTAGACGTTTGTGTAGCTAAATGTTGTTGTCCCTGCATCTGATGTATATTATTCTGTCCAGCATCCATAACATTGCTGGCATACCACCATTGTACACCAGGTGGTGGATTTTGTTGTTGCTGTGGTGCACTACCATTGCCATTACCACCAGGTGCACCAGCTTGCTGTCCAATTCTGTAATCATAACCACCTCTCATGCATGTACCAACAGGACTTGACGTTGATACTGGACTCGATTGTGCACCAGTTGTCGCTGGATTTTGAAAACTCGATGCCATCTTGTACGAGAATAATTGTTGTGTAGCTGCTGCTGTACTTCTAACGATATCCTGATGATGCTGTGACAACTGTTGTGCCTGTTGCTGTGCCACAGCAGCAGCCTGCTGATTCATCAAGTGTTGATGTAAATTTTGTTGTTGCTGCTGCTGCTGCTGCTGCTGCTGTTGTTGTTGTTGCTGTTGTGCCTGCTGCTGTGCCTGTTGCTGTTGTGCAGCAGCAACAGCGGCCTGTTGTTGTTGTTGTTGTTGCAATTGTTGTTGTGCCTGCTGCTGTGCCTGTTGATTTTGCTGATTAGCTTGTTGCTGCTGTTGTTCAGGATTCATACCAGGCCACCATGCATTGCCACCAGCACCATCCTCACGATTCCCAGGGCTCGGCGTACCCCAGCCACCAGCGGCTGCGGCGACGCGGTGGTGTTCCGACATGTCACGCGCGTCTCCGTCGTACAATCACCCTGGTACAGGGTTATACCCCCACCTCCTCTGATAAATAATAACTAACCCCCCACTTCGCTATTCAACAATGTTTTTACACTCACTTTTACGTGACTCTCATTAATATCTCTTTATTGTATCTTCCCTGAATTTACAGTCATTAATAACACTCGTTCACTCTAGTTCCTCTCGTCTTTTTTTATTTTTTATTAATCAGTAGAAAAATAGGGGGAAAAAATGAGTAAAAATCCAGGTTTTTTCCTCCGCTGGGGATTTTTTAGTGGTTTTTTTTCACCGACTTTTTTTTTTATCTCCACAAATTTTTGGAGTTTTTTGTTACTCCGAGGGGGGAAAGAAACAAAAATGGCCACACTCACCGATGGCTTAAGGCTACCTCCGGCCACACCACTGGACACATCCACACGCGCGCACCCTCACGGGTGTCTTTCTCACTCAGTATGCACGCCCGATTCCACGGAATATACCGGACTCGACGAAAACCGCGTCCTGAGGGTTTTCTTTCGGTTTTTAAAACGATTTTGGTGATGAGGATATCTCAATTGAGTGGCGTTTTAATTGCTTCAACTCGAGGTAAATGGTATTGAGGGAAGAGGGGAGAGTATTGTTGTGCGTTACCACGAGACTATTTGGAGTTTATAAATTTATTAATGAATAAAAATATAACGGAGCACTGATTTTTCAAAGCACCTCACTGTATTTTTTCACCGGTTCAATTCTCTCTCGCAGCTCGCTATTGGAGAGAGAAAATATCGCGGGGAGGGGGAGTGAGGGAGAGAGGTTCCGAGGGTAGAGGAGGGGAAAGGGGGGGAAGAGAGTCCCTCGGTACTTTTGGAATGTTTTATTCCTCTTTTCCTCTGCCAGCTTGATTTTAATTAATTTATTGGATTTTCTTCTACGTCTCCCTCGTTGATTAATCCGTATTACGAAAATCACTCTTCACCAAAGCACAAGGGAAAAACCAAAAAATTATTCTCTCCCGTATTTGTGTATTCTCGTTTACTTTCGAGTTGATGTGCAGAACAGATCCGTTATGAAATATTTAATGCTTGTTTATACGGGGCCTGCGGCGGATGCGGATAAATCGAGTAGTTTTTATTTTTAGTTTTTTTTTTTTAATTTCGGTCTCTCTTTTTAATATTGGTGTAGCAAAAATATTTTAAAAAGGAAGGAAACACACACCGTACGTACGTTACACTTTGGGATGCGGTCTACTCGACGCTACGCTCAACGGCTGCTCGAAGCGCTCGGCTACGTTCGGTGGTAAGGCGGGTGGTGGTGTACGGGGAGGGGGTGGCTCGCCCCTTCTTTTCTTTCTCACTCTGTTTCACCTTCCTGCCGTCGGGCTTCCCCATCTACCCCCACCACACCAATAACAATTCTCTAGCCATTTTATCCCCACCAGTTTCAGCAGCCGTTTCACTTTTACGTGCGCTACCCCGTATGTCGTTACCCTCGAAATATTTATTTTTTGTTTATTTAAAAAATGGAGAAAATTTTTTGACGGGCAGGTGAGGTTTTGGGCGGTGGGGGGGAATTTTTGGGCATTTTTTGGGGACTCGGGGGACGGAGTTTTGACGTAAGAAGCGGGCGCAAAAAGCCCGGGAACGACGCCGTGAGTTGGAAATGAGAGAGAGGGATTGTATTTTTTGCTGCGCGCGCAGGAAATTTTGTCGGTTCTTTCTGTCTCACTTGGGTTTGGGAGGGGAGGGGGGAGGACCAATCGCCAATGCTCGAGTGTTGGGTTGGGATTTTGTGGTGGGGACAGGGGGGAAAAAGAGAGAGATGGAAGTGGGGTGCGGTGTTGCCGGATTGAGCTTTCACCCGGTTGTTCACAAAGGACGGTTCGTTTTAGCGGACCAATGGCGTGGCAGGATTACTGGGAGAGGGGATGGCGGGCTTGTGATGACGGAAAAACGTGGCAACACTGGCGGTGGGGAAGAGAAACGGGGAGAGTGAGGGAGAGGGAAGAGTCGGAGCGTTCCTTCCGCCCCGGCGTTTTCGAGAGACGCCGATGGGAGAGAGAGACGGGGAGAGATGAGAGAGATGCTGAATGAGATTTATTGTGAAGGGTGGGGGGAGGAGGGGCAGAAGGGTTCTCTCTACCCTTGAAACTACCGAGGTCAACTTTTAGGCAGGGATTTTATGGCGAGGGAAGAAGATGGATAGATTTTTTTTTCCAGTTTTTGGACGGATCGGGGTTTTTTCGGAGTTTTGAGGGCGTTTTTCGCGAACATCTCGCACTTCCTTGTTTCGGGGAGAATTCCGGAGTGACTGCTTTACCGACTGGGGATTTTGTACTGGACGCGCAATTTTACGGAGTTTGGGGTGCCACGGCGGTGATTAGGTACTCCGATTTATTATGAATTTATTATTATCGATGGAATGAGAAGATCAAGTGGAACGACCTTCAGTTGGAAATTTTCAAAGTCCCTGGATTTTTTCGGATTAATTGGGTATGATGAAAGCGTGGCCGAACACTTCGCGATGAATAAATTAAACATCCGTTTTAATTAAAATTCAATTCTCGTAAAAGGAAAAAAATATTAATGGGAAATGAGAGAGTATTGATCGTACAGAATCTGTCGAGAAAAAAAATGAGACTTTTTGTGCGGAATTTTTCTACAGGTGAACCCAGGTAAATCGTAAATTAGCTGGAAAAATTTCGTCGAAAAAATGTATTTTGTGGGAAGCGGAGGGGAAAAAAGGTAGAAAAATCGAGTGAGAAATACCGAGTCGAAGGTTTCATAGAACGCCCGACTCTCGCTCCGTCTCTCTCGCGCTGTGCGGTGGAGAGGGGGGAGGGTGAGGGTGAGTGGAACGACTAGAGGGAGGAGTGCGGGGGGCGACTGAGGTTCGAGGTAACGCGGCGAATCGAAGAGTGAGAGGAGAAGAGAACCGGGTCCGGGTCAATAAGACGCGAGTGAGGCAGAGGCAAAGCGCGCATTCCCAGGGCCGACGAGCGGGAACGCGAATTTAGGGGGGAAAGGAAAAAGAGGGAACAACGGAGTAGAGCAATATTCATTAAAAAATAATAAATTTTGTGAGAGACAAAAAGTTATTAATTAGAAATTATTCCTGGGTATTTCGACATGAAAAGAATTATTTCCATTTCACTCATGTTTATTGCATGAAAATAATCCAACTATTTTGTAAAATGTTTTTTTCATTAATTTAAAAATTATTCAAGTGAAATGGAATTTTTGCAGCGAGGAAGAGCCAAAACATCGAATTCACGAATTTTCTCTTTACAAGAGAAAAATTAAATTATAAGTTTCTAAATGCAAACGACGAAAAATTATATTCAATAAAAAAAATATCGAGAAAAAAACAGCGAGCGAGGTCAAAGACCGAGACCGAAAAAATGCGGGCATAAAAAAATCTCAAAAATGAAAAAAAAAATGATCCCCAATCTGATAAAATTTTCCTGAAAAAAAACCTTAATTAGATTGTCGTTCTATTCCTCTTACTACGAACAAAAAAGGGTAGAAAAGATTTTGAAAAAAAACCTCCGAGGCACGTAGAGAGCGAGAGGGTGGGAGGGGAGATGTGGGTGGGGGAGAAATCGAGAGGAGAAAAATTTGGAAAAATTGCTGGCGTGACGGGGCGGCTACGGGGAGAGAGAGAGAGAAAGAAAATCAAAGAGGGGAGGACAAGGAGGTGTTTTAACTGAGGAGTGGGGTTTGAGGTTTTGCCCGTTGCCAAGAGACGCTGGGCCCGATCTCGTACGAGGCCGTACGATCAGAGCCGAGTGCACTCGATCCTCGGCGAGTCACGTTCGAGCGAGAAAACGAGAGGATGTTCGCCGAGCACAACCACCGACGTTTTCATACCCCCTCCTCCCCTTTTTCGTCCTACGACATCACCCCTTTCGTGTTTTTTACACATTTTTTTTGCACCATGTGGCGTAACAGTCGGTTAAAAATTGTCCCAGAATAACGGATGAATTTTCTGCCGGAAGTGAAGTCGAACATTCTCATTCAACTCGGATGAAACCTTTAATAAGGATTAGAGAGTTTTTTTTCCAAAGCTTTCTCGAATGATTCAATTTTTCAGAGCAATTAATCATTGATGAAACATTTCTGTACGATATTTCAGTTTGGAAAAGTCGACTGCTCATTTCTAAGTCGAAAAAAGGTGGCATGAAAATACAGGGGGCACCATACGGCGTGGAATAATGTAATTTATAACCCCGGGGTGGGCTAAAGAAAAGGGTCGTTGCCACGCTGCAATTTATGTCTGCTGTGTGCAGCCGGCTTTTGCGCGATATTGAGTTTGCACCACCCTCCTATACCCCCTCGTCGCCCCCCCTCTCACGACCGTCGAGCTCGAGCATCCCTCGGTATTTTCCGAGGTGAATTTTGTCGATTTAAAAAGTAAAGATTAAGGATATGAATTCGATTGACCCGTCTGTCCAACGTAAAGTCTGATGAAAACTTTTCTTCAATCAACTTTTCAATTAAGAAAATTGAGTATTTTTAATAATTATGAAAATTAAGAGGATGAATTTCAGTTGCGAAGTGGTAAAACGGTACAAGTCAATTTTGACTATTGGCCCGTTTTCAATGAATATCTCGGAATCTAAGGAAGATAGCAAAGATTTTGTTATAACCTTTTTTGTAGAGCCGATTGAGAGCTACAACAAATGTAATTGCGAAAATTTCGCTATCTCTCTTAGATTCGGATATATTTTTCAAAAACACAACTGGGAGATAAGTCGACTTAAATCGTTTTACCACTTTGCTACTGACTTGTTCCGGTGGAATGCTCAAAAATGATTTCATGTTTGTTGAAAATAGAATTAGATCGAATACTAGGAAGGTTTGGGAATAAAAAAAAGGCGGCTGAAGAACTGACCTGGCGATTCGATGTGCCCTCGAGCCGAGGGGGGAGAAGTAGATAAGAGGGCTGTCCGCCGTTACCGACTGTAATTACGCTCGAGATGGCCCCTCCCCCCCCCATTCTTCTCGCTCGTCGGTTTATTCGTATTTCTCCTTTTATTGTATCCCCATTACTATACCTGGAACCTGACCGAAATACAGGACCTTCGGTTGCTTGGGATTTCAAACAAAAAATATAAACCTCGGTGTAACTGTGAAAAATTAACGGGTTGGCAGGGGAGAGAAAAGCGGATAATTTTTTATTTAGGCCCGAGTTTCGGCCGCGTGGGTTATTGCATTGACAGGTGCTCCGAAATTTTATTGTTTAGTTTCGGTTCAAAATTGCAAGTTTCATTGATGATTAGGGACTGATAATTTGTGTTGATATTTAATGATAATGAAAAAAGTTTGGAGGTGAATTAGAGTTTTGTAAAATCCACGTAGGGATTTTTTCATTTAATTTCAACAAATAAGCATTTTAATTTGAACGCTGATTGTTAAAGTCGATCAGTAATCGGTTGTCTAATTCGAATACTTTTTAAAATTCAACAAACAGTTGACAGTTCACTTTTTTGACAACTAGCTGTCGAGTATTGTCGAATAGTTTTTAAAATTCAACGATAAGCTTCCTATATATCGTGAAACAGTCATTGAAAATACATTAATAATTTTCTAATCATGACAATAAGCCTATAAAAATAATTTTAAAAATTGATCATAAAATAGAGCTTTGTAAAATCCACGCATCGATTTTTTCACTGTTAAAGTTGATCAGTAGCCGGTTGTCAAATTCGAATGATGTTTGAAATTCAGCAAATGGTTGACAATTCACTTTTTTGAAAACGAGCTGTCGAATTCTGTCGACTCGTGTTCAAAATTCAACGATAAGTTTTCTATATATCGTTAAACAATTGTCGTCATCGAAAACCCATTCATAATTCTCTCATCATGGCAATTGTCTTACAAAAATAATGAAAAAAATTGACCATAAAATAGAGCTTTGTAAAATCCACGTGCCGATTTTTTCATTTAATTTCAACAACTAATCATTAAAATTGGTACGCTGACTGTTAAAGTTTATCAGTAGCCGGTCGTCAAATTCGAATGATTTTTAAAATTCAGCAAATAGTTGACAATGCACTTTTTTGACAACTAGCTGTCGAATGCTGTCGACCGGCTTTCAAAATTCAACGATAAGTTTTCCATATGTCGTTAAACAATTGTCATCATCGAAAACCCATTCGTAATTCTCTTATCATGGCAATTCGTCTACACAATAATAAAATTTTAAAAAAATTTCACGTGAGATAGAGCTGACTGTTAAAATTGATCAGTAACCGGTTGTCAAATTCGAATACTTTTCAAAATT